TTTGAAGAAACAAGCAAGAGGAGATCTACCGAAACAAAAACTGGAAAACACTGGAATATCATTAATACAAATTTTGCACGTCATCTTTAAACTTTTTGCATAAACTAATAGGAAGCAGCATGATCCATTATTGGCTGGTGAAAAGCAGGTGTTATCCAAATATTCCAGATTTTGTGGCAGGATTTTAATCACTTTTTGTTGCTTGAATTTTTTTTTTTTTTAAGTTTTTTTTAAAGTTTTAAATTAGTTTGATTTATTTCCAAGAAAACTGGTGCAGAGGAGGTAGGAGCAAGAAAGCAGGGTTGCAGTCCGCGGCGTGGCAGCGACACTCCACCGCCACCCCGCCTGCTGCTGGATGGAAACAGCGTCGTCTGCCATCTGCTCAGGTGCCGACCATGTCCTCCTCCCCCCCCACCACCACCACCACCACCACCCACAAAGAGAGGTGTTTTCCTGGTGGGCTTGTGCGTCTCAACAGCATTAGTAAGCAGCTGAACATGTGAAGTTTGTGTCGGGATTTTTTTGTACCACGTGTGGTGTACATAAAGCTTATGAGACAAACGAGGGGGGGGAGTGTAAAACTGTACAAACCAGGGCTGGAAGTGGAGGGAACCATGCTGAAATACTGTCCAACATTGAGAGGAGGGGCGGAAACGCTGCACCAGCAAGTCAAGTGTTTAGTAAATTCTGGGTCACTGGCAGACATAAAAAACTATGCGTTTCTTTTTAATTTCATGAGCACCATAAATCGTAAACAATCTAGAGTTAAATATGTGAAGAGTGCCGCAACAGGTAGCTGAACTCTATCCGGACGACTCGCAGGTTTCTTTCTCCTAAAGAAAACCTTCCCTCTTCAGTTTCTCATCATCCCGCATATCGACGTGTGCCTCCGGGAAAACTTGAGTGAAGTCTGGGGACAGCATGCTCGCACCCCGGAGAGGACTGACCTCGAATGGACGTTAATTCAGCGTTCCCCGACAGTTCTCTGCCCCACACAAACAGGGGATCTTCTCGTCCTCGATGGGAAACTTGTAGTCGTAAGTGATCTCCTCATTGACGTTAATGGGCTGCCTGGAGTAGATCACGATCTTCTTTTGAGACTCCACTGTGATGACCTTCGCATAACAGTTAGGCTGAAAGAAAAGACCACAAAAACAGAAATTGTGAGACCGGGTTTGTTTCTGAGCTTGTGTTTCTGTTCCATACTCGTATGTTGTCTTACATTGCAGCTGTGGTTGATGAAACGGGCGAAGTTGCCGCACTTTGTGGCATCTATGATGGTGTCGTGGTCGACTCGGAACATGTAGCTGCTACCGATGCCCTCCTCCTCGTAGCGCTTCTCCCGCATGTCCGCGATCACCTGCCAATGGGAGGTTGCCACTTGTTAGGAGGTTTATTGACATTTTACTCAAAACATGTGTGTACAGTGTATAGTTATAAACTCATAGAAATGTACATCGTCTATTCCAGACTACACTGACACCCAGGTGGTATACACAAAATTTCAAACAAACAATTTTAGGTCAAAAGACTAAAAAGAAAAATAAACTAGATACATACAAGATACAATAAAAGATAAAAATAAAATAAAATAAAACAAAACAAACCTCTCAGATAGTAACTCATATATTACAGAAATAGCGCAACAAATAAACAATCTTATTAAAAGGTAACTTCACCAACTAAACTCTCATTAGCCTCCCTAAGAAGTTTACATTGACCAGTACTCAGACCTCCTCTTCGTTCGCTAGCTCCACACCTTTCACAAACAAATCCAAACCAAAAACCTTCCCTCTTTGTATATATGTTATTTTTTCTAAAGGAAAAGTTATTAACATTTGTCTGACCCAATATGTGACACTTGGTCTGCTGGACTTGCTATTGATTTTTTTGCATGCAAAAGACACATATCTATCATTGTTTGTTCACTCTTGGTGTATTACTTGTTAGGAGGTTTTAAATGAAACAGCTTTATCTGACATAGAAACACTTTAACTCAATAATTAATTAATTAATCAGTCACATCAACAGATCTGGTCCTTCAAAGTAAAATGAGCTCTCATACTTGCTTGTAACCCTTTTGTCTGTGCTTTTATAGCAGTCCAAGCAGCATGTGTGCAAGTTTGGCTGCTTCTCATTCTCCTTAATGAGGGAAGTGGTTGCATAGAACTATGTAGAGTAGTTGTCTGCATTGTTTATTAATAATAGTAAACTATTCAGATTCTGACCCTTGACTCCACAAAGTTTGTGACCATGTTGGATGCTGGAGTAAAAGTTGTATTGTTATTATTCATATTTATTTGTTGTGAGGCTGCAAGTTACATTAAAAACCTGAAAGATTTAACAGGTCAGAGGTGTTACTGTCCTTTAATCTTCCCATTGTTCTAATAAAACACCTTTGTCTCACAGAAATGTTCTGTGCAACCCTGGAAGTCTGTGTAATGTAATAATTGTTTACATTCAACCCACGTCAAATAAACCAATCAACTGCCTCTCACCTGTCTGATGTTCTGCCCCACGTACTCGATCACCATTTCATCTGCTGCGATGGGCTCCATAGCAAACAGACCCCAGTCGTGGATGTGAGACTTGCAGAATCTGATCTTCTTCTTACGGAACTGAAAGAGAAAAGGGAAGCAAAGTAAATTCAAGGTATCAGGAAAGCTGATATTAAAATGCTTCATCACAGAAATGCAGACACAGCGTAGGTACAAGCAGGTGGCGAGCACAAAAGGTAAAACCATCTATGGTCAGATCAGCTGATATCTGATGATGATGATGATCTTGTTTACTGTTCTTTTTATAAAACTCAAGGTGAATCAAACTGCCCACTGGAGCGAAGTTCTGTTGGGCTGTGTTTACCTTCAGCTGGTTGAACTTCAGCAGGTCACTGTCACAGGCGAACGAGGACAGCAGGCGACGCTGCTCCGACCGCCGTTCCGAGCCAGCTCTGGTAGAGGCGTGGACCTGTGCAGGAATACTCATACCCTGCAGAGAGAAGATTGAGTTAGATGTGTTCTCCCACACACATATATTAGCATACATTATGTAAGTAAGTCAAGCATCACAGTCTGTTCTCGGCTGTCCAACCTGTGTGTCGACTGGCGGCTCCTCTGACTGCAGCTTTGTGCTCTGAAGGTACTTGATCTTGTCCTTCTTGTCGATCTTGTAGTATCCCTCGCTTCGCGCGCAGCCGGTCATGTGATCCCTCATGCCGTCGTCTCTTCTCTTTTTCTTCACTCCAGGGATGTTGGTAGGTGCAGGGTAGTTAAGGAAGAAACTGAAAAACCCTTATACCACAGCTGGGACATCATAACACTCAAATAAAAGTTCCTCATTTTCACCACCAGAGGGGGCTGCTATTTGATACACACAGTGCAAAAGAACTCTATTAGAAAAGAAAATAACCAAATATGACCTTTTTTGTGTTATTTCACTGCTCTGATCAACGAAAATGATTTGTGGTTTGTGGGGAACTTTTCAAGTTTGGACTTACAAAAGTGACATAAACATATAGATGAATGACATTTGGTGTAAAATCAGCTGGAGTTAAGCAGTAAAGGATATGAGGATGGTTGACCCAGAGTGTGTCGTTGAGCCAGTCGTTGCCGTTATCCTGCTGAAGCATCTTGTCATAAGTGATCTGCAGGAGCCGCATGTCCTCCTCATCTATGCCTTCGTTCCAGATGTCATACAGGATGGTCATCTCCTCAAACTCTGTGCGCCGGTTGAAGTACGGCCGGGGAGGCGAGGTGACGGGGGACAGGCTGCCCAGCAGAAGCTCCTCCCAGCCTCGCCGCGGCCTCCGCACTGGCTTCACGACCACGGGTGCCTCGTCTTCATTAGACAGGAAGCTGTCTTCTGCGGGCAAGACCGTCTGAGGATCCACGTCCTTACTTTCCCGGAAGTCGAGGCTTGGATGGTTGGGGGACTTGGCAGACATCCTCTGCATGGCTAGATCGCCGAGGTGTGCGTCAAGAGGCAGCGGGGTGGACTCGGATGAGAGCTCCAAAGACTCATCAGCTGCAGAGACAGCTTGGGTCTTTTTGCCTTTGGGTCGTCCAGGTTTCCTCTTTGATGGAGCAGTATCTGATGGCACAGGGACATCTACAGTGAGACCAGCAGGCAGATCTTCAGGGACACTGGCTGAAAGCTCTGCTCCAGCTGATAAAGCCTGGTTAGGAAGGGCGCTGATGGGAGGCTCCTTAAAGACTGGTCTATCGTCTAGGCTCTCAGAGGATATTTTCCTATTAAGAGTCAGCGCTGTGGGGTCTGGGAAGACAGGGGTGAAGGTTAAATCTCTTCCTGGAGTGCGGGGGACTCCAGCACTAAGGACAGGGGACTGTGCAGGGTAGGAAAAGGGGCTACCGGGGATGTGAGGGGAGCTAAGCAACAAGCTGCTGCCCGTCAGCGGGGCATCGCTACCAGGTGTGATGGGCACCGTGTCCGTGCTCTGGGACTTGCCCAGACTTCGGGCACGTTCCATCAGGTCCCTGCCCGGCGTGCGGGGGATGTCCTCGTCTGTGGGGAGCCTGGCCCGCTGAGGCAGGTCAGGAAGGGGACCAGGGGGTGGATGAAGGAGGGAACGACCTTCTATTGCCGGGTGAGGAGGGAGAGGAAGGTGCATTAAAGATGCGGAAGCAGCTTTGGGGACGGGTGTATTTGCATCTAAGTGGGATGGAGCTAATCGACCCAGGGTGCAGGGTACTTCCTCAGGCTCTGCTTTACCTTTGGCTTTGGTCTCCTGGTCGCTGTCGAGCAGGGCACCTGTAGGAGTGGGAGGTCGAAGGTTCGCTACGTGCTCCAGAGGTTCAGACTTCACCACAGGAATGTTGACTCCAACACTGATGTCAGGCTCTTTGACTACAAGACAAGAAAAGATATTTAAGTTAACCTCCGACATCAATACTTCAAAATCGTGTAGAAATTTTACGTTGGACCTGAATATTACAGATTTAGGAACAGAGACTCACCTGGGATGCCTTTGGGTGATGGTGGCTTCAGGTCCTCCATTACCTCCTCGGGACTGGGAGGTCTGCGTTTGGGCTTGCTGCTTATCTCTTCCCTGCTCCTATGGTCCTCCTTATCCTCTGGGACTGGTCTAGTAAGAGGGCTTTGTGCCTTTGTCTCTGCCTCCCGCTCCTCTTCATCGGACGACGAAGTTGTAGAGGACGAAGAGGACGAGGTGATCTTGACCTCTTTGCCTTCGTCGTCCACATCTTGTGCCACGGTCACCTCGGCTTCTTCCTCCTCCTCATCCTCTTCCTCTTCGGAGCTTAGCTCGTACTCAGAGGAGTCTTCGCTTTCTCCCGAGGAGTCCGAGCTGGCCTTGGAAGAATCTGAACTCTCGGCTTCTGAAAGATATGAGGCAAATAAATTATACATCACATGAAACAGACAAAAACCAACCAGCTGTTGCTGTCTGATATTTAAAGTACCATCATCAGACGAATCCGAGGAAGCGCTCTCACTGGATGAGTCTTCATCATCACCCTCCTCATCGCCACTCTCCTAAGAGATGATCACAAATCAGACAAGCGTTAGCACATTACGTGAAAGATAATCCAACAGATACTAAATGAATGGTAATTTATGAGACGGCTTACTTTGCCCGACAACAGCCTATCGGTAGCCTTCGTTTCATCAGGCTCCTCCTCCCTGTCAGACAGAGACTCCTCCTCCTTCCCTGAGGTGTCCACTTCTTCCTCTCCCTCACTGTCCAGTTCAAGTGGCCGCGAGTGCCGTCGCTTTGACGACGTACCGTCAGCATCCATTTTGGAATCGTCCAAGGGCAGCTCAGCTGGGTCTCGATCCCGGTCTGACAGAAAGGAACCACGAGATAAATTAGCTGTTGGCAACTTCATTTCAACACCACGAACAAAAGAGAAAGTTGTGAATGTAAATGTGAAGACTGTTTGGTCTGCTGTATCGATATTGGAGGGTTACCTTCATCCTCCAGCTCGTCATCCACTGGAGTTGAAGGTCGGGCTCGTTTGTTGTCCCCTGCTGATGCAGCCTCAGGTGGGTCCTTCCTTTTCACCTGAACACAACACGCGACCATTAAACACCAACCAACAGTGCGACTGGTCAAGGAGAACACAGACTCCCTCTTTGTCTGTGTTTTTTAAATTTTAAGGCTTACCTTGAAGGAGGGCAAGCGGATAGCTCCTCGCAAACTTATTCCCAGGTTCATTCCCTCGTAGCCCAGTCCCTCGCCCTTATTCCAGTTCTCCAGCAGACTTGAACCCATTGTCTCTTTAGGTTTAGGTCTTTCTTCTTCCTTCCCCTCTGTACCCTTCACTGGAGTCAAAGACGCCTGGGGAAAAAAGAACAGGATTTTAAAGGCACCAATTAGAGTCTTTTGTGACCTCAGTCTACAGATCAATATCTATGAAACGCATGCTGCTTCAGGTGTGAATGCAACCAGTTAATTGGTCGATTATCTTTCCAATAAGTTGTTTGGTCTATAAAGTGCCAGAAAACTGTGGAAAAAGCCCATCCAAAGTATTTAACATGCTCTTCTTGTCTGATCATCAGTCTGTAACCCAAAACAAATCAATTAATTAAAGTATTGTTCATCAAAGCTGCTGTCATCTTTCCACCACTATCTGTATCACAGATCTGTCAGAATCCTTGTAAAATGTTTAGAAACTGTTTTTATTAATCAGAATGGCACTTGTCAAAGATATTTACTAATAAAGATTCATGCGGCTGTAGGCTTGGACAGACCCACATAGAGAGAGGGTGTTTTACTTCTGTTTTAATAGTGTGCAAAAAGCATCATGTTTGATTAGTTAATTCATTTTCATGAACATTTGTGCTGCAAACTACTACCTACTACTTACTGTTCTTGATGTCACTGTAATTCATGGCTTCTATTATGTATAATTGAAATCATATGATATGGACCGCATTACAACATTTTCATTATTTATTTTTAAAATTTATATTATAATAATATTTATATCTTTTATTGCCTTTAATCAATAGAGACAGCTCTAGAGTGACAGGAAAGAGGGAGAGGGAGAGAGAGGGAGCGCGAGAGAGAGAGAGAGAGAGAGAGAGAGAGAGAGAGAGAGAGAGAGAGAGAGAGAGAGAGAGAGAGAGAGAGAGAGAGAGAGAGGGGGGGATGACACACAGCAAAGGGCCACAGGTTTGAGTCGAACCCAGAGCCACTGCAGCAAGGACTCAGCTTTGGTACATGGGGCGCCAGCTCTACCTGGGGAGCTACCAGGGCACCCCTTTACAATAAGGTATGGTTAGGTCAGTACAAGTATATATATTCCCCACACATACTGTGCATGTGCTTTGCCTCTGTAAGTAACACTGTGCTTGTGTCTCAGAAGCTGAAATGAATAAGTTACCTTTGCGGAGCGTTCCTTCTTATCCCACCAGTCATCAAAGGCTCTAAACGCCACCACCTCCACCATTTTGCGGTTGAGGTCCCTCTTCATGATGGCCTTCAGCTCTTTGACAATGACCAGCAGCACACCGTCAACAGTGGCCTTGTGTGGATCCTCTTTTTTAGTCTCATATCCAGGTGGAGGAACAGTAGGGTTGAACTTTGGTATACTGGGATGCTGCCACTGTTGTCCGGGTGCTCCTGCGCTGCTAGCAGGTGTGGCACCCATAGACAGGGGCGCATAGGGTGCCCCAAAAGGCCCAGACGCACCACTGTCCATAAAATGTGGATACTGATAGGACCCTCTACACTGAATCATGCGATTAAGCACCTGCTGCTGCATCTGGAAGGACATGGGGACGGTGCTCCACTGTTCCCACCGCAAGCCACCCATCATGTCCACTGGCATCAGTGGCATTATGCCATGAGAGTAGGGACCCATGTGTGGCAGCATATGGTGAGGCACTCCGGGATGACCAGCCAGGGGCAGGTGGTGATGTGTGATGGCGAAGCCGGTCTGGTGTTGGAGGTGGGCGAAGCCGGGAGGAGGGATGGAAATGGTCTGCATCGGGGACACTGCAGAGTTTACAACGATGCCCTTGCCACAGTCTCCACTGGTGATCGGAGTCCCTGGCATCTCGTCGTCAGAGATCTCCATGTCTTCTCCTGACGACTGATGGGCCTGTGTGAAGAGGGACAGCCTGTCAGGACTATGCAAAGTCAACATCTATTTTTTACAGGTTACTCAAGTACAATTATCTGCCCTTTTCATCTCCATGACAACTGAGCAAACGCCATATACTTCTGAAGACGTTGAGATGGGGTCAAAAAGCACAGGAAAAGGTTAGTGAGTGGACCTTGAGTTGTTTTGTAGGATTGTCAATTTCACCTTTGACTTTAATATTAAATATGGGTATAATTTTTCTATCCTAGTTCTGATTCAATACCTGAGTTTTTAGCCATTATATAGCAAAAGAACTGAAGTTTGATACTACTCTGTGAGGAGTGAGTAATTCAAAATGAGTGCAACAAATGATTTAAGGGCTGATCTGAGTTCAAAGTTTAGTATTCGCAATAGCAAAGTCAAACACAACTGACCCATGTCATTGGTCAGCATGTTTCCAAACAGAACTGTTTGCTCGAGGCATCAAAACAATTTCATCTTAAAACCATAGCAGTGAATAATATGACTGCAAGACTTTAAAAGAAACTTGCATTGAGTTCTCTTCCCTGCTGTTTATAAAAGGGATCTCTGTTACAACTGCTGCAAAAATGAAACTAAGTAAGGGTAAACTCAGCATGGGAGTGGCGTTGTTACCCAAATGACCTGTTTGCAGTGCTTGCTTTGTGATAACTTGAAATGTGAGACAGGAGGACGCTGTGGCCAATCCTGACTGTCAGGCTCAGCAAAACCAGGAAGTGTGGTGCTGAATGGGGCCAACAGCCAAACTGTGTTTTCCTCCGTGTGAGCGTGTGGTGAGTATTAGAAAGAGGAAACAAGAGTGTTCAATTCCCCAACAGCGGAACGGGTCTTATTTCTCCTTTCAAAGCGCAGCGCAAAGTGTCGAAACACAACATCACAGGCCAGATGGTGTAACTGTGACTTCAAACAAGGAGACCCACATTTGAATGTGAAGGTATTTGTAAGGCTGCAACCCATTCGGCTGAAACTTTTCATTCATAAAACTCATTTCAACTGTTTTACCTGCACTGACGAGGAGTTTTATAGATTTATTCAGAGACAACTGTCTAACACTTCTTAAAAGAGGTAGTTCATAGACAAATAGTAGTCATTCTGAGAGCTTATCTGTCAACAATAAACAACAAAACAGCATTTAACTGAACTGAAACAGCATACACCTTTTTTGTGGCCCCTTCATACATGGACTGTTGTGAAACCGGAACTTCTTTAACAACCAGAATGAAACAAAAGGAAAAGTTTACTACTACCACCTTGCACTGAAACTAGACCTCACTTCCTGTGTCCTCCGTGTAACCGTCATTCACAGCTGTGAGTAAACATCAGCACCACGCTACTATCAACTAATCAAGACTACCAACACAGGCTCATTTGAGCTAGATTTGGCACTTTAGAATGATGTTTTCCTGTGAAATGTGCCAAACTTAACATATGGAAATGTGTATATTATTATTTTTAATATAAACAGCTTCCAGTCTCATGCATATATAAGTAAGAAAATCAGTGTCTTACTGTGTCCATTTTATCTGTGGGAGTGTGGCCTCGAAAATGTCCATCTTTGAGGTCACTGTTGCTCATCTTCTCCGGGACAGGAGAGCTGATTCTCTTGATCAGGGATGCAGTTCCAGGAATTGGCTCTTCATCTTCCGAGTCTGGCAGTGGGGTCGGACTGATGTCCTCCAAGCCTGTGCTGGAGGGACGGGAATTTTGCTGGCCACCTTGGGAGCCGCTTGTGTAAGGGGGAATCGGGGATAACTGGGAGGACGAGGAGGAAATCGGACTTCCCTCCATTCGCACCTCAGTGTCTGAGTCTCGCGCCAGGAACAGCAGTTTTGTCCTTTTCTCCTTGAGGAGCATCTCAATGCGGGAATCCAGGCTATTGCGCTCTGGATCCAGTGTGGGGGAGCCGGGTGAGGGGCAGTGCTCTGGCGTTTGTGGTGGAGGGGTGGTCGGATGGGGAACGGGTTCTGGCGGGGGCTCGGGGATCGGAGGAGTTTCTGGTCTCTCCTTGACGGGTAAAAAGTCAGTGGCGGCTGCCAGAGGCGGCTGCGGTGGTCGGAGGTACTCACCCTCCCTTTGGGTTGGGTGATGGAAAGCTGGCTCTGACGGGGGGAACGCGGGGGGCAGAGGAGCCTGGTAGGGTGAGAAGGCGGACTTGAAGTTGGGTGTAGCAGGGGGAGGCGCCGTGTAGGTGAAGGAGGGGGTTGAGGGTGGAGGTTCAGGTGGGGTGAGTTGGTGCTGTTTGAAGGGAGCTTGTTCAGACGTCGTACCTCGATACATGTTGCTGCGGTACTGAGGCCTCTCCGGCCTGCGGTTGTATGCATCCTGGAACTTACTCTCGTGTCTGCGAGATTTGTAACCTCCGGAGCTCTCAGGCCGGCTGGACTGGTACGCGGGGGTGGACTGCCGACTGGAGTAATTGGAGTCTTGAGAGAAGGGCGTACCTGTCTGCCGTGGGGTGTGAGGGGTTCCCTGGGACTGGGGTGTGTCCTGCCTCAGGCTGGAGTAGCCCGTCTCCAGGGACAGAGGAGTGGTGGAGCTGCTGGATGGCAATGTTCCTCCGACAGCAGATACACTACTCTCCGACACTACTCTCCGGATGGGCTCGCAGGCCTTAGAGGAGACAAACAGGATTGGGATGAATCAAGGTGTCACGGGCACACAAAAAAAATAAATACCCCTGATGTTTTGTTGAGAGTGCCTGTAACTTAGATGCGACTGTATATCAATGCAGTCATGAAAAATAGTTGTGATGATTTCCCCTAGATTACTAATTTCACTGTGTATGTGAAGATCTTCTTAAAAAAAAAACAACATCTACTGGATAAGAGTAGCTATGCACAATGCCTGGGTGACCTCGTGCTACAAGGCCAAAGTGCACGTTTCAGTGGCTTTGTGATTTCAGTCCACAGGGAAGGGTCTGGATAACATTTCCTCTGCTCTACTCCACCACCTGCTGCACTGATAAAATGGACTGCAGATAAGGATGTCAGCTTAAATTGGCATGTTGGTTTCTTTCTACAAAGTAACACCACAAATCAGTAATCACATCGACAAAATAATATGCAACTGTTCTCTAAGCTGACCAGTGGAGACTGTACTAAATTGTTATTATCCAACTCCCACTGACACAGTTAAGGGAGTGATTTTACATAAACCACAACCATGAACAAACAAAAACAAAAACAAAAAAAGGGCTTTTACCAGTAAGGCTTCTGCCAGGCTACGAGGGGAAACCTCTCTGGCCTCCTCTCCACCAACAGGCAGCGTCCGCGGAGTGTAGCTGCCGTTCATCAGGAGCTGGAAGTACCTAAGGCGATTCTCACCTGCAGAATGGTAAACATGTGTGACGCAAAATCTATAAAACAGCCTTAATGCCAGCAGGCTTTACTAAAACTAATCTGGCACAATTTATATAACCGTTACTATTCAATGGCAGCTGAACCCAAATCTAAATAACTGTAGAGGGAAGCATACACATAATGCAGCCTCCTTTGTGAGTACACATTTCCAAGTTGTTTTGAAAACAGTAGAGCCTTTAAAACTAATATTCTTCATAGCTTATGCCCGCCTATATATGGACTATAAACTGTAAAACTCAGTTATTTTATGCAATAAATATTGTTAAAGTACATTAAAGTAATAGGAAACATTCTATGTGATACATAGGCCCAAGCATGTCTTAAGAGATCTAAAACATGTTACAAATGCAACACTCGCTAAATACAACTCTTATTTAGACTCTGTATAAAAATAAATTTGTGGAAATAATTCAAGAGAATAGCGACTGTGTAGCCAGTGAAAACTATACACATTGTAATTAAAAACATGAGTCATAAATGACTTAAAACTGTTGCCAGTCCAATAAGGAATACTTTACATTGTCTTAAAGTTGCTGCTCTGCATCAGCCACAAACAACAGCCTCCTTGGAGTCTCAACAGTGTTACAGACACAAAAACTAACACTAAATGTCATGTTGTCATTTTCTTTAAATGTAACTCAACAGAGACAATCTGAAGGTGGGGGGTGGTGGGGGTGAGAGGGAGGACTCTGACACATTGGTTTGTGTTTGTTTACAGGTATGAAATTATGCACAGTGGGAGTACACAGCACCCTCGGCTCTGGGGCTTGTGGGAGCAAGCTAACATTCAATGAAATTCAATTATCCCACGTTACCAGGCAACGCACGTATATTTACACACGTGACTGCTGCTGCCCCCCCCCCTCTCCCCAATAAGTCAAAACAAGGCTTTTGTCATTTGACATCCAGTACTAGTTATTGTTCCTACAGCAGAATACAGACCCGATCGTGCATTCATGTAGCTTTACACGTCTTTTTCCTTGAATGCTTGAATCTCTGTTTACCTTTCGGGTCCAGCTCCACGTGGATGATGTTTCCCATAACAGACGTGTCGTGGAGCGACTGCACGGCCACCTTGGCGGCTTTCACGGTCTCAAAAACAACTTTGGCGATTCCCAGGTGCTTTTTGTTCTTGGGGTTGTACAAGATCTCGACCTCCTCGATATCTCCAAATTTTTTGCACATGTCGGTAAGAAATCCTTCCCGTATGTTGTCGTTGAGCCTGGCGAATGTCACCTCCTTTGGAGGCACGGGGCCGATGTAGCACTCGTCGATCTGGGAAGGAAGGAGGGAGAGAGGAGTTAATGGTGCTTTTGGGGTTTAATGTTGCACCATGTGGGGTCATTTTGTGGACAGCTGAGATAAGAACAGCAGTGCCGGAGTAGTTACGATGAACACGCAAATCCAGTCGGGACCTTCTGCACATCAGACTGGGGTTATTTTGGTTCTAACAGCCCCTCTGACAATGACACTTTCACCCCGACATCCCAAAGATGAGTGAGGGGGGTGTGTCTGCAACTTTTGACAGCCCCTCTTTCCTTCCACCGGGTAAAAGCTGCCATCATACTCTCTGTCAGAGTAGATACCTTAAATTTGGGCACCGGTAGGTCCGTCTCTTTGTACTTAGTCCAGAGACGACCGATCCTCGGGTCTCGGACGATGTCCACTGGTGGCATCCCGGGGTTCTGTAGGAGAGGAGGGGAGAGGAGGGGGGGAGAGGAGAGAGACAATACTGTTATCCATCCCATTCTCAACTTCACACGGCGAGAACTTGTTGCAAAGTAGTTTTTTTTTACACAAACCGGACGCGGTATTTTCGATTAAAAGAACGATCCCTCTCTCTCTCTCTCTCTCTCTCTCCGACACGCTAGTTCAAGATGCTGGGAACATGCCGGTGGCTGGTCACGGCCACATTGTAACCTATCATGGAGGTCGGCTACTCGGTTACTATTGTAGCCGTTTTCGCCGCGTCAAAAAAGGCGGTCCACTTACGGGCATGTTGAAAGTCTGTCCATCGTAGCGGTACAGTTTGTGTGACCCCTTCTTCAGCGCCGGGTCGATGATCAACTTGTAACTTCTCCAGTGGTGACTCCGCTTCTCCGCCGAGCCGCAGACGGGATGACTGTCCATGCCGTTCGCCAGACCTGAAACGACAGGCAAGCGACAAGGAGACAGGGAGAGCTATCGTGAGGCAACGCCAAAACACGGTCCCGTTACCAGCCCCCAACACTTTCCCCCCCTCTCAGCCAAACGTTACAGATGCATGACTTCGGGTGGAAGCGGGTAACCCCCCCCCCACAAGTGAGAGCCAAAAAAAACGGGATCTAGCGTATATCCCAGTTACGGAAAACAGGCATTAGGAGGGCTGGAGAAAGAGGAGGAAAAAAAAAGCTTACTTGAACTCTGCTTTCTGCCATGGTCTTCGTTCAATCTGTTTCTCTCCCCCGGCTTGGACATGGTTCGTCCGATCGAGTGATTTTTCTTTAATTGATGAAAAGACGAAACCGCTTTCCTTATCGCCGCTTACATTACATGATTTAGCTTGAAGAATACTGCCTCCTTTTCGGTGAGAGCCAACACATATTGTGTGCCTCTGGTCTGTAGCTTCTGTCTCTCCCACAATACACCGCTAGGCTTGCCCTCCTCCGATGCTAGCCGCACATTCGCCACGAACTTATTTCTATTTCCACATAAGCGTGAATGTCGCTGTAGCTGCTTGAGTTAAAAATGTATATATTTTGTTTTTAGGAAAGATAAATCGCATAGTAACGCTCGTATGGGCACGTGAGATTAACAGGAGCCCGGTAACGGCTTTGTGTCTCTAAACCTTTTAAATCATGTTTGTGTGGAATCTGCCGACTGCATTTACCCACACGGCAAACACAAGATAGACACAGGGGGCAATATTTTCTCAACTGACACTAAAAGCTAATAAAAATTATTTTACTCGAAGGTTGGTTTTTTTTGGTGGGTTTTTTTGGATTTGGTTGTTGTCGTTCACACATTCAAGCATGTTGTGGCCATACTGGAAAACGGAAACAAACGGATGGGGGGGACTCCGCCGCCGTAGAGCCAGTTGTTGACTGCTAATGTGTGGCAGTTAATACAAACCTCGGTTCGGTGAGGGGTTGAATTAAACAGTCGAGCTAACCGTTTATAACCGTCGGAATGCGGCGGTTTGCAACGTCTCCCTCTCTCTTGTCAGTTAGTCTAATCCGGACCGACAAACTAGTGCCAAACCGTCGTGTGTGGGATCTTTTTTTTTTTTCTTTTTTTTTTTAAAAATGTATTAAAACAACCGCGGAGCTTTCCACTTTTATGTATCAACTCAAAACCCCGCTGTGGATTTCTTGCGTTTTAAGTTTATAATTTTTATATTGTCGAGCAGAAGTGGATTTTTGTTTGACATTGCCTGGTGTTTTGCAGTGCTCGGGCAATTGGCTGGTTAACAGCGGCAGCTCGGCGGGCCAATCAGAGCGCAGCAGCAGAGGAGCTGTCTGCTATTAGAAGCACGGCTCAGGAGTCCTTCAACAGAGAGCAGAGAGAGGGGGCCGAGCGCTCTCGGCAGCCATTTTCCTAAAAACAGGACTCAATGGCCTATATGGGTTTCCTTTGTTCCAAAAGGGATCTTACACTTGATTTCCTCATCTCTCACGGACTATGATAAAACTATGATTCCTCCTTTTAAAGGATTGAGAAGAAGGAAGAGAATGTACTGGATGTAATACCCTGTGACATTTTGAGCCTTTTTTCCTCTGCCTGGAATCCATCTTTGTCTTAACTAGGTCATGGCACACCCATATAATAGTATTTATATTTCTTAAGTGAAAAGAAAACCAAATGTTGTGAATAAACAGCTTTATGGTTTTGAAGATGTTGAATTTGAGAAAAAAGAGAAAAAAAACACAGTTAAAGTGACAATGTGTGATGGCTGGTTGTTGGCATTGCACTTTATGGCCTTGTAGGATAGCAATGAGTAAGTTAAACTCTTTTATAATAATTGAACTATTTTGATAATTTAGTGATGTTTAAAATGTGAGGCATGCAGTTACTGTTATTAAAAGTATGTTCTGTCAATTTATCTATTGATCTATCATCAATTTTATCACATAGAAATGTTGAAATCTGTAAAAGCCAACTTTATTCAATATGTTCACTGGCATGCTGACATATAAATATACAGCCTACCAGTCCTGGTTATATACCTTGCTCCTCAAATGACAGAAAGCAGGCCATGGGTAACTTAATGGCCTTTTGCAATAGTTTATAGTACTGCCTGCAATTTTCTGACTGTTGATTGATAACCCATTTGCTTTTGATTAATGACTTTAAACACTTTCCTCTCACAACAGCAACGGTTAACACCCTGATGGCTTGTGTTGTACCCTACCTACAACTGTGGAGACAACTTCAGGCACGATTAGGTTTGTGCAGCCCATTTGCCATTTAAAAACCAAATGCGTCCAAAAGTGTAAACGTCGGTTTGACCTTGCGTCAAGGGCACATTTAAATGTATTAAGAAAGCTCAGTTAGTCTTTTTTTTTTCCCTTTTAAAGTTTCTATAACAGTGCAAAAAAAAAAAAAAAAAAAAATGAAGACTGTAAAAAATCTTAGAGGAAACAGATGGAGGGAAGACTCTTATGGTGAAAATATTTACCTCAGCACTTTGGTGAAATGCAGTTAACAGGCCTAAACGCAGGGACAGGAGGATTGTTTTCAGCTCCATCTTCGGATCCTCTAATAATGGCATAAATAAGGGGTGGGAAAGCGTCTCCTGAAAAGGAAGGAATCCATTAGCACGACAGATAGAGCTCTTTTGAAAACTTTTTTTTTTTTGATCAGTGGTGGTAAGGCATTGCCTCTCAGCCAGCGAATATGCATCTTCAAGCATCATCTGTGTGGGCAATATGCAAACCATCTCCTCTCTCTCTCTCTCTCTCCTTGAAGACAGGATTTGCAGTCAAGTATAACCTCTTCAATTTCGACATTTCTCACAGAGCTACACCAATATATAACCACAAGGAAGTATTGTTTTGTGAAAGGTAATGGATTTTGAGCTATTTCACTCATTTGTCAATTTATATATGTCTACATGTAAGTAGGCTGTATTATATAATAGAGGACAGACAACACGAACAATAATTGTGGTTAAAACGTTATCAGCAAAGTAAAAAAATAGAAAAGGCTATTGACTTTTTGTATAATGTAACCCATTTGTTTTTTTGATTGATATTGCAAACTTACAGTTAGTATTCACAACATGTAATCCAAGTCTTAAAAAAACGAGCAAAGGAATCTTATGGGGAGGAATCTTGGATATTTTCACTGCTTCCCTTTGTCCAAAGAGACCTTTTTGGTGATAGACTACACTTGTTCAATGGTTTCTCTGCTGTTCTCTTGTCTCAAAATGGCTTCTCTACAGACAAAGGAGAGCACTGTGCTGTAAAATGTTGCTGCGCCATAACTGGGTGAGGCTCACTCACTCACTCGGCGAGAGTGGAGGCTTTTTTTTTTTTTAACCCGAGGACGTTTCTCGGTGATTCAACAGGAAGTCTTTTTTTTTTTTTTTTTACACGGGTGATTTTTTTTTATTAAATCTCTTTTTAAAAAACGTTTAAACATGTAAAATACGAAGACAAAGTAGTCGACATAGCGTGTACGGGAGGATAACGTTAATAAGGTGGCGCATTTAGGCTGTCGGTTGCTGGGTGCTGACTCGCCCTGGCAACGGCAGTAATCCGAGCGCTCTGGACGGTTGCCACGAAAGCTCGTTGCTGCTGCACCCCCACACTGCCCATATAAGGTCAACAGGAATCCTCTGCACTGTTAGCCCTGTTGTTTTTGTATCTGGGTGAAAGTAACACTGGGGGGGGGGTTGCTTCGGGTTTCCGTACTTTAAGTTTGAGACAAAGGCAAGGCGGATCGAGTGTTTTTAAGTGCTGCAGATCATACAAATGAGTAAGAATCTATCTTATATTCGGTATAGGAGTTTAAAAATAGACATGGGGGGAGGGGGTGTTAAAGGGCTTTCTATGTGCCTGTTGGTGTTGTGTGTTTGAAGAGACACACAGTGGTAGTCGGTGTGGCAGAGGCCTGTTTTTCTTGTTATCCACTCCTAGATCCGGCTGCCAAGTGCGCACGTCCCTCCATTTGCAGGTCACGAGGCTGTATAAACACCATTCCTGCACTACTCCCCCTGAGCCTCCATCCCCCATGTGCAAAAAAATGTGTGAAGACGGTTTTATGTGTGTGACAAAGGTGAACATTTTGCGTTCAGATCCACCAGTGTTATTTATAGGCCTTTGTTTAAAAAAAAAAAAAAGACAAGAAACAACCCTCCCCGGTGGGTTGCGCCATTCAGCTTTGCGCGCCGCTGACAGACTGGAATATTCCACACAGAGGATTGGCCTCTCTTCATGCTGGACAGCTGTCTCTCTGCACGGCGAAAATCTATTTTTGACAATTGTTCTTTGTTTATTAATTGATGAAAAAAAAGGGGGCTATACACCTATGGATATTTTGTACACCTACGGGACAATTTATTTCACATCTTTTATATGCTACTTTATTCACATGTTAAAGCTGCCAGTTTCACCTTGTAAGTCAAACAAGCACTCTTTTCTTTCTTTTTTTATTAATATTTATTTATTATACAGGCATTTTTTCATAGCTTTTGCTACACCATACCGTATTGTAGAAGCATATGGGGCACATGAGAACCGTGTATGGCTATTTTTGTGGAGTCAGAATAACCTGGCAACCAGACAAACTGCTAAATGCCCTTTCTTTCTGTCTCTTTGTATGTTCAGCCTTTTATTCTGACGGATTGTTCACTGAACCAAATCAGGTTTCCTCGCGCTTTGTGTGTGTTTTTCTTTTTTTTTTTTTTTTAGGATTTTTCATGCAGATTGGTGGTACTGTAATTATTTTATGTGGCTTTTCTTATCTCTAGCTCTTAAATTGGCTTATTTGCATGTCTAGTGTAATGTTCCACAGTATGGTTTCTGATGTAGTCTCTTTTACTGTCTGTGTTTTCTAAAATGTTTGAATAAATAGATTATACACTCATTTTATGTTTTGTTGTTGTGGAAACTTAAGCAGGTTGTTGTATTTGTTAGTGGATTTACATTGCAATTTTCAACTTAAAATGATTTTTAGGCCCACATTTAAAACAGTGTTTTAGCCTAGTCATGACATACAACACTAAAAAGTACATAATGCACAATTCATGCTGCAGGGTGACAGTTTTTTTTGTTGTTAAAATTCCCTTTTAGTTATTGCAGTAAATGTATGTGTAGTCAGGCGAAATGTTTTCTTAAAATAGGCAAAATGAAGGGCAGTGTCAGCTCATCCTCTTAAAGGGACAGCTTGCTCACATTTTCCTTTACCAATAACTGCATATTTTCCCACCAGTGACAACTAAAATTTAACTTTTTAATTTGACTTTGTAACCTCCCTCAGTTTGGGTTTGACTGCCTTTCTGAGAGAGAAAATTCAGACCAGAGACTGAATAAAAATAATTTCAAATGCAACATTTTTGTGCACTCTGGTTCTCTCCTGACACCGACTGTAATCAGATATCTGTGATTATTAGCAATCATCGACATGACTGACACATATTTCCGATCCTAATGTTAAAAATATCCTGTTCTTGCATTATGCTGTAATGTCCATGAACATCATCCAGGTCATTTGATGTCTAGTAGTTACTCAAAGGCAACTGGACTGAATGTATAACACTACACTGCATGTCCAGTTGCTTCTGATCATTACTATATATCTGGCTCACTATCTCCAATTTAAACACAGAGAAGCTATTCCTCATGTTCTAAAAACAGCCTCAAACACCCACAGCCTCCCTTTTTAAAAAACAGCACATAACCTACTGTACCTCCGACTGTTATCTCTCCAAACCAATCACTTTATTCTGCTCATTTAATTAGTTTGATGCTGGATAAGATGTCCGTACATTGCACCCTGGAACGAGAGAAAGTAGTTTGTCCTGACGCCCAATCCGTGATGTCACTGCTGTGTTCAGCCATACAGACTGAACAAAGAAGTATGACTGACATCATGGTTGTAAATACCCCTGGGGGATTCAAATAGATCACATTAAAAGGAAAATGCAGGAATACACACAACTAACTATTTCTATCAAATGCATGTATGTATTTCATGCTTGGATTCTGGTTGCTGAAGGTTTATTTAAAGGTTAACACTCTCGAATATTATACAGTCATAGACAAAATCAATTAAAACGTCTGCACCTCGTGAATTATCATCAGCCCCGGGAATACCACAAAATATTTGAATGACATTATCATTAAAGGAATATTACATATTGATTGAAACATCCACTCCTGATGATGAAAAGAGTGGGCAACCCAACATAAAATGCTCATACATATAGCATATTTTAAGAATCTGGGAGAAGTGAGGCAGCTTAATTATTCCTTGTTATAATTTGTGTTTCACTTAAGGAGAAAAAGGGACTGGCCTCAACAGTGTACACATTCAGCCCTTTCACTGTCATCAGAGGATCTCCAGGTCACACATTCATGACTTCACTGATAAGGAGTCTTATTGTAGTGATAACTGTGACTTTACTTCAGCATTAGGGGTGAACATTTTTCTCGTGTTATCTCACACGCACAGTGCTGTTTGATGGAGGCAGTGCTTCAGATTGAGTACCCACCCAGAAAATGCAATAGGCACACACGCACATACAATAGAGGAAGTGGGAGCAGCCGGACTCAGCAGCACCACATGTTTCAACTCAGCTGCGGCACTACTCATACCCAGATGAGATGAGATGCTTTCAGCGAGCAGATTGACAATAAGACTGGAGAAAAGTGTAGGGGGTCAATTGGAAACAGCTTCAATGTGACAGGAACAGGAAGTGGTGAAGAGAGTGAGCTACCTGGTAAATCATGAGGCTTGTCTGTTCCTCTCTATCGACACTGCCTGTATATCATCTCAGCCTTTCCAAATATAGATTCATCAGGCTTTACCATGTATTCAACTTAAATCTGGAGGGAGTATCTTCAGCCCCGTCCTGTCTGGCACCTGTTTGATTGTTTTGGTGGCGAGATGACACAAAACGGTGCTAGGACTGTTAATGGTACCGCAAAAAAAGGAGAAGAACTTAAAATTGTGATAGTGGGAGATGGAGGCTGCGGGAAAACCTCACTTCTGATGGTTTATGCTAAAGGTGATTTTCCAGAGGTAAGAAGAGCTTCCATGCCATGTAATGTATCTCATTTATTGATATTGTATATTTATTTATTAGTACACATATGTTTTTATGACCATAACTGTAAAATAATGGTTATCTCAGCCCTTAATGAGAATTTAGTCACATAAATGTGAGCTGCATTTCCTGTTTCCAGTTCACTCATAAGAATGTCATACCTTATAAAAGGGCAGAAATATGAAAGAATATATAAATATACAGTAAAGCTGGATCATAAAATGGACATCTTCCTTTTGTGTGTCAAAAACAGAAATATGCGCCATCAGTGTTTGAAAAATATGTCACCACTATCTCTCTCGGAGGAAAAGAGATAAAGCTCAACCTGTATGACACAGCTGGTAAGACTCTCGATCAAAAATCACCTCCATGTTGAAACATCTGTGATTTATGTGTTAGTTTCCAGTACATTAAATTTCACACTGTGTGGACAGATATCAGAGTTTTGAGCATGCTGAGCTCAGTGACCACACACTGTGTCCGCTGGCTGGACTTTGATAGAAACATGGTGCAGATAGACAACCATATAAGTAATAATAATGTTATAGCTTTTTATCTTTTAAGATAAAGTTTGACATCCTCACACGGTGTGTTCAGTCTTTATCTGATTGTTCTGACTCTGACACAGAGGAAGTGGTAAAGGGTGAAGTCAACGTCACAGCATCATCGACATCATCTTTCAGGAACTGACAGGCTGTTTGTATGTTAGTAACTACTAACAAGCTTTTATAGTATCAACTTTAGTGGCAAATCTAGTGTAAGATTGTTTTTGTCTTCACAAATAAACAAAAAGAAAAACCTAAATCAAGTAAAATCTTCCTTATTCATCCTGATCCCTGATTTTATGTACTGAATATGTACTTTAATTTACATTTTCTCCATTATTGTATTTTTACTGATTGATATTAGAGTCAGATCAATATTGGAGGGTTATTTTTTATTAGTTTACAATACAGCACTTCAATGCTAGGGCTGTGGATATCGAATACTATTCCAATTTAATACTAATTGATTGAATTGTGTTCAAAAAGTCTTATGTACTTAAGTAGTCAGATTCTCAGATTTAAATTCTTAATGTTATTGATATTTGCTGTTTGTTATTCAAATAGATACAGTTATTTAGATTTTAAAAAAATAGGATTTTTGAAGAAAAATAAGTTTAAATTTGGGTATTAAAAACTATACCATTTTGTGTTAGAGGTAATCGAGGTAAATAATCCCCAACATGACTCAAAAATCATGCATTTTACAAACTGCTGTATTCCTGTGGGCCATAAAACATGATGCTCTTATGTGAACAGTTTTTAAAGTAATTTCCAAGAAAACTCCTGACAGACGTGTGCAGGCCGCTTATCTTCTGTAGAACTGCAGCAGTGTGCCTTACATCAGCGGAAAAAGGAAGCTGAAGCCAGGATGTGGTTTTGTACATCTACCCTGTCTTTGTAGCATACATCATATCTTTATGTTCAGGCTGTTGCATCCAACGCAGACCAGTTTCTCCCTTTGTAAGAGGGAATTTCCAACCTAACCCTGAATTCCCTACATTAATCCTCTAACATGCGTTGTGTGCCTTCACTCTTCACAGGACAGGATGACTATGACAGGCTTCGCCCGCTCTCATACCAAGAGGCCAATCTGATTTTAGTGTGCTTTGATGTGACCAACCCCACCAGCTATGAAAATGTCTTGATAAAGGTAATGATTTATACGGTCCATTAACAACGTGCCGTGTTACACAGGCAGGTATAATGAAACAAGAATGTCACCATTCAACTGGAGCTCAAATTCCGTAAATGATTGTTGACTCTGGTATGTTGATGTTGGCTGCATTCTTGTGGCTATGATTAACTCACACAACTGAGCCTCCATGTGGACATTGACCCCCATGCATCGCGGGTTAATGTCACACTGGGACTTTCTCTTCTCAGTGCTGCTTACAAAAAAGTCAAAGAGAGTGATTCAGAAGCACAACACAAGTCTGGTGTTAAAACAATGATTCCTTACATTTTGTTTTTACCCAGTGGCACCCAGAGGTGAAGCACTTCTGTCGGGACACTCCGGTCATCCTGATTGGCTGCAAGACAGACCTCAGGAAGGATAAAGAGTGTTCAAGGAAGCTCAAGGCCATGAATCAGGCTCCCATCACTTACATGCAGGTAAGGCAAGGAGTGTGCAGACATTTAGTGAGCTATAAAAACAGGCCTATGCGAGAGGAAGCGCCCTAACCAGAACCTACGACCACATTCAACTTTACTACAGTTTCAGTGCAATAACATCTGTTTGTCTTCACCTGTGACCTTTATAATCACAGTTGCACAGTCTAATTGTTCATGTTGGTTTTGGGCTGTAGGGTGAGGAGACCCGGCAGCAGATGAATGCAGAGCTCTACCTCGAGTGTTCAGCAAAGTATCAGGAGAACGTGGAGGACATTTTCAGAGAGGCCACCAAAAGAACTTTGGCCTATAACCGAAAACAGAAGCACTTCAAGAGGAAGAAGAAATGTGTCGTTTTGTGAAGTCAAAAGGACAGAGGCTTGATGAGGACTCCACCCTCCTGCATTTAAGAGGCCACTGCTGATGGCTTCACTTTTCTCTCACTCACATTCAGAGTGGTTGGTCAGATACCAAAGATGATTCAGAAAGTACTCATTCCCTCTAAGTTTGGGCCTCACTGAATCATCCTTTACCGTCCCTAGAACACGACTACTGACGGAACAGGAAAGAAAATTAGGCAAGAAGCTGCAGCAGTGTGGAGACTTTCTAAAGTGGTATGCAACTTGAAATGCTTTCTATCAATGTATTTTTATATTTTGTCTCATAGAAAACATTGTACTGTTTCCAAACCATATTTTATTGAAAAAAAAAAGAAAATATATATATATATTCAGGAACCTGAAGTAGTTCTCGTGTTGTGTTTTCTATATATTTTTGTAAGGTTGAATTGAATGTTTCATGTGTTACGGATAAATTCTCAAACAAAATAGCTGTTAAAATGCAATAAATCTTTGTACTGTGAGTCATGGTTCAAGTGAAAAAGAAACAAAACATTGAACACCCGGCAGGGTTAGATCATTTCCAGAAAAACACTGAACTAGAATTTGTTTTGGAGCCTTGTCAACTTAAAGCAGAGCTCTTATCTTTAACAACAGCGCCCACTAGTGTCGGAACAAATGAATGTGAGCAATGGCTGCTAATAAGACAAAATAAATACTTTGTATATCAGTGCACAGAAGAAACACAGCAACAGACAGTTTTTAAATTGGTGTTTAATTATTAATATATATTTTTACAACGATGTACACAGATTGAGAAATTGTCATCTGTCTCTTGTTACTGATCATACTCAGGCACCAGTTACAGTCTTGTAATGAACATTGTTTAACATCAGCTACATCATAAATTGAGGAAATCAAGTTGTTCTGTGCGTTCGGGCAGCTCTCGAGTCAAATGTAACATTTTGGTCTGTAACCAAAAAAGAAAAAAAACAACAAGCTTCAATTCTCCCTTAATAAAAGTGATGTGTGATGAAATATGTTGATTCTCTCTGGCATGATTGCTTTGTGGGAAATGAAATAACGCTACAAGCTTTTGATTTTTCAGAATAAAAAAAAAGGAGACAGACATTTTTGCTGTAACAGGCTGGAGGGAGAATAAGGCATTAGAGACCTGACACTTCTACAGCTGTCAGTTTTAAGCCCATCTGAACCTTTGCCGATAGAAAAAAAAAAAAAAAAGAGCCTTGTACTTTCAAACAAGCGTTAAACACGACCCAGACAACACTACAGTGAACTAGAGCAAAAAGCTCCAGGTTTGGCCGTAAGTTTAATTCCTACAAATATTTTATTTAGTATGTTGATCGGAATTAGAAACAATAATCCGGCACAATTTTCTCATCATTCTACATCTTAAATCTTACAGTACGAGCTCTAATAGCAGCATTTGATCATAAGATGGGAACTAATAGCTTGTCGTTTGCAGCCCAGTTCTGATAAATCCAAACTGTGCATGGACTTCAAGTGTTAAAACAATTAAATTGAATAAGCCTGAAGCAAGATTTAGACCATTAGTGAAACATGATAAACCTATGTTAGTATTACGTTAATGAGAACATTTAAGTGTAACCGATAGGGAGGAGCTCACATGAAAATCTCCTTCAACCCTCACTGGGAACAGTTTTTTTTTTTTGTAGAGACACAAAATGTTTTAATGTCTGTGTTCATGTGACCAAGTTTAGGCGTTTAGATCATAGAAAAACAGTTATGGCTTTTGTAACCGCTGGCTGAAGGGAGAAACAGTGGTGCATTCCTTTATAGCCCTGACTCTGTCGAGGAACTAGGAAAAACAACAAAAACAGAGCTGCCACTGACTCCAGACAGACAACATACACCAGAAGGAGTTTCTTTTTCTGAAAATTGAAGGTCATTTTGGGCAGTCAAGTATTAGGTTTATGTTTTTTTTAAAAGTAGGAACAAAATCTAGTAAAGAAAATACTGGTTAGCAGTGAGATAGCGTAACAGGGAGTTGAGAACTACACATAAAAAGTTAGAGAATTCAAGAAAATTAAGCGCAGTGCCACGTTGAACAGTTTTTGTTCAAGCCAGAGACAGTTTGACCATTAATACTTCACAGAAGTATGAAGTATGTACATGACAGACTTTAGGTCTTAAAAGGCAAACTATTTTCTGTTGAATCGATGCTACCTGCCCTTTTTTTTTTGTTGCATATGATTTGAACAAAGGCTCTCTGACAAGATTCATGCGCTGACTTACACAAACACCCAAACAAAACACATTCTTTCCACTCACATTGTATGTACAGGATAAAGCGACAGACTGTTCAGATTTCAGGTGAACACCGCTTTGTATGTTGTGACCGACTGTGCAGCGACATTGACGAAGAGTCATTAGAAAGCAGAAGCCTGTAGGCCAGATACTTTGGCTGGACACTGTTGACGCCATCAAAGCCTGAGAGAAGCAGCGGTCTCAGCTTCGTCTTCTCCCGGCCTGATCGTTTGCCGCGGTCAGTCTATCAAGCGATTGTGCGCGTTGCTTCAAAATTACTGGCCTGTTCGTAGGAATCTGGAGTTTTTGTCTCAGTCATTTTTTTGCACTTTTCCCTGGTTTTTCTGAATCTTTTGGTGGACGACTTTTACAGTAGTGAGGAAGTTTCCCAGGAACAGGACAAGAAAAGTCAGTGCCAGCATAAATACCTGAATGAAAAAAAGGATAAAAGAAAGGGGGGGGGTTTATTCCAAGACACGTCCTAACATGCATTTTTATAACTGTAGCAATATCTGTATTTCAAGATGTTGAAGGGGTTAGAACATGTTAGGTAGGTGGGGATAAAATTATTTAACTAACACTACTCTAGACTTTATCACACGTAATTTTAAGAAAGAAATCGAGTATGATCAACTTCAGTGGCCACTCCTGTCACCAGCTCTGAATATAGCATCAAACGTGCTTGTGTGAGCACTGCTTACATACAGGTCAAAATGCACAAATGATTTAAAAAGAAGCCTGTCAAACATTTACCAATAAACCAAACAATGTTTTACTCTGCCTCGACACGTCTTTTGACATTTAAAGCACTCGATCTGGCCAATGTGATCCTTACCTGCCACTCCTTGCAGTCTTCATGTCCTGCCAAGCGAAACAGGGTCACAGAGTTGTACAGCTGCCAAAACTGTGAAGGAAGAGGACGCATTATCTTTCATAATGTCACGGCACACTCTGGTTGCACATACAAATTTCGTTTGATCCACATCTTTCTCCTCAGATCTAAAAAAAAAATGCATAAGATAAATTGTGCAATTGTGTGCACTTTTTATGCACTTTATACAGAGCAAACAATGACTGTTGGTGTGAAATGGCTCAATGGGCTTGCATGAGCTTGTGGGATGTCCTCCTGATTGTAAAATATTTGGAATTAGGTGGCAAAGCTGTTGTTTGATATTCAGCAAAAGCAGAAGAAGAGTTTAAGTTTTTACTTACATGGCCAAAAAAGAGAAACGGCAAAAGAAAAGTGAGGCCTCTCCACATCCAGGACTGAAATCCCTCTGCAGAGAAACAGAACGGTGACCTTGGGACAACATGACACAGAATACTACAGTGTTGTTTCACAGTCTTCGCTTCACAACAATCTGACATGAGATGGTTTGAGAAGCAAATTCACTGAGGCCGTACTCAAATTACTCCCGACATCTGCGTGGCAGCGTGCTGATGTTAACAACTGTCTCCATCTCTTGACCTTTACCCTATTTTTTCCAGACATGGTGTTGCAGATGGCTCGAGAGTTCAAACGATTGAAATGACTACAACCAAAAATAGCTTACAACGTACCCACTGTGAGGTCCAGCTGATTTCTCTCTCCCAAAGCTCGCAGCCTGTATAAGCAGCCGCTCTGGTAGTAATACTGGAGGAATTGGACAAAGCCTGGAGGACAAATGGATCGCGTAAAATGACAGATTACATCACACTCAGTGAACAGATCAATGCGGTTCAGATGATGCCTTAATACTGCGAAGGAAAACGGTTTTTGAGGACTAGCATCAGCTTATGACCAGTTACAAAACCCATTTAATGGAATAAATAAAAAAGGCAATAGCAGCCTGTGATGTTAAGCTTTGCATACTGAAATGAGGTCAATCTGTCCTCAAAACAAAACAAACAAAAAAAGAGCCACATTGTCTCAGTTTAAGCTGAATTTGTTAGGTGAGGCTTTCAAAAAAAAAAAAAAAAAAAAGACCATCTGTCTGTTTAACAGTTGACATAACCACCCAAAACCCCAACCAGAGAGCCCCATCACACTGGTTGTCACATCATACGTCTACATGTGATATATGGACTGTAACCACCATTATGTGAAATGACAACTTCTCTATTCTGTGGACAAGATTTTTACATTATAAACGCAACTATTAACAGCAGCCTAGCAGTGAAGTGTTGACAGTCCAACACAGATTGAGAATAGTGCAGTAAAAGCTTTATATGAGCATAGAAACTGGTGCCACCATTTATGTCCTTAATCAGTAAAACCTTCATTCATTGAGATTCTTATGTCCAATTACGCCCACTGAATCGAGTTCATTTAGTAACAGCTCTTAGGATGTGGAACGTTGTATCATCTTCCCAGTTGTTCACTTCCTCCAAACATGTTTTATTTACTAGACTGTAAACACACAGCAGAGCGCCCCAACTGTTCCCAAGTGCGGCTACACATGACCAAAGTCAACAAGAGACCTGTGAAACGTTTGTACTCACAACAAAAGATGAACTGAATTTTCCTTGTTTTAACTGTATAATACAACAGACCAAAGTAAAACATTACTAATTCTTACTCTGATATATGGAGAAAGCAAGGAACTGGCTTCTGAACATCTGATACATGGGCCCCTCCGGCCTGTGAAAAGAAAACGTTAAACAAAAACTGAAGGAAGAAACCATATTGCCTTTATTGTTCAAATATGATCCCTGAAACAACATCACTATGAAATCATTGACAAAAACTCACCAGGTAAGCATCACACCTGACAGAAAGGTGGATACATAATGGTGAGACACCCACCAACCTTTGATCCTGAAAAGCGTAAGAAGAGCATAGGAAGAGAGGAAATTGTATAACCCAGTGCGATCATAGAGAAATCAGAGAAATGTATTTTCAACTACATGAAAAGAAAGAAAGGCTGCATACCTGGAGCCATTGCTCATGAGGATGCTTTCCCTTATGGTCAATGTGCAGTAGTACCACACCAGCAAAAAGTTGAAAATTTCATCAGTGACTCTAAACAAAGAAAATAAAATAGTGAGCGTGTCTTTTAGATTGCAGTAAGAGTAAAAAACAATAATGATCGAGGGGCAAAGGTTATCTCACCGACAGTTGAGAAAGAAGAGGCAGGTTATTGCTCCAAACATCAGGATTATTGTCATATAAAGCTTGAACTTCTCATACTCGTCTTTGTAGGCAAATCTGTGGGGAATGAAAGGAAGACAACAAGATGAAATGTAGAGAATAAAACAGACACAAATCCAGAGTCAGAACCCACATTTTCACGGTGTCCTGAAGGCTGAAGATTTCACATACTTTGCCTGGTTGCTGAGAAGCGTTACGTTCACATTGCCCAGGACCAAATTCAGGTACAGCCTGAGAACACACAAAACGATTAAAGAGAATTATTTGACAAATGAAACTCCCTGTCTGTAATGTTGAATAAGTGAACATGAAAAAGTACTGACCCGTTTCTCTTTGGCAAATAAGCTTCCATATCAAAAAACACATTTTCTTTTTCTTTGATTTGTGATTTGATGTCCGTTATTAATTCCAATTCCTTCTCGTCACATCTTTGTGCACCCCTGTGAAAGGAAAGGGAAAAAAATGGTCATAAGTGGAAAAGAAATGAAAAGGAATATCTTAACCCTCCAGGAAGTATGTTCTGAGTTACACAGATAATAATAATTTAACCATTAAGTGTGCCTCTACTACTTGAGTCAAACTGGACAATGAGCCAGATTATGACAGTTTACTGACTGTAATGTAAGCAAACAATGTTCAGTCCTGATCAGAGTAAACTTACTTGTTCAAACTGTACCGTAGGTCCTTCAGGCATTTTCTCTGCTTACTGATGGCGTTGCTGCATGTGGCCTGAAGATTAGTGAGCTCTTCAAGTTTTTGTCTGTATATTTTGTGAGTTTCCTAGCAATCAAAACAAAAACACACAAAGTGAGCCTGGAAAATGTGTAAGGGATGAAAAGCCTGCTGCCTCTTTCTGCAAACTAAGAGAAATACAAACAGTCACAAATACTAAAAAAGTATGTATATTAATGCATGTATGCTGATGGGTGATTACAACCAATACATACATTAACAGAAAGTGTGATATTAAAATGTATCCCAACAATCACCAAATCTTTGCCTAGCTTTAAAAAGCTCTAGACGAACAGAGTGTCTATTCAGCGGAGATGGAAATGCTTCAGCCTGTGAAATCTTGTTTGACCCATCTGTCTGAACACAAACAAACAAGACTGTATTATGTGGCGATATATATATTCCAGTTTATATTCATCTATGCTGGCGGCCCAGACTATAGCTCTAATGTTGAATCTACAGGATCGTATAGTGTGGGACTGTCAAGGATTTAGGGGATAGGTTGAATCTAGAAATATATAAATTACTTCCACAATTTAAAGTTTCATTTTGATGATAAAAAAAATGGGAGAAGTGGTTTGAACAAAAGGGGGTTTGTCAGCAACTGTACTTTATTGTCATCTGCATTATTTTATCTGTCTGCAATTCCAATACCAGCTACAAAACAAGAGTCTGGGAAATGTTTGTTGGAGGATTTGAACTCACGGATAGTATAAATCTGGAAGGATGAAACTAATAGGATTGGGAGACTGTTATATTAGTTATTCACCAGAGCATTGAGGCTTCAGTTGACAGTCACCTTCATCCTCTTTCCCTACGGAGCAGCTCCAGATTTTACATTTTGATGCCATCACAGGTCCACGTCTCCGTTATCTGATACAGGCATTAGGAGATGGATGGTCGTGGCAAAAACCCCCTACAGACCACATAATGCAATACTTCACCTCAAAGTGAACGGGATCCTCTCCTATTATCGACTACTTATATTGTTGTTTCAAGTTAGCCAGCTAGCAGAGGTGAGCTAGCTTGGTAGTGATGTATGATGAGGCGTTCAATGACTGCGAATTAATTCACCCAGGCAAAGCGACAGCAATAAAACACGTAGAGTTTCCCCTTGAACGTTGCGACCTCTAAAGCAACTTCAGTAGCAATCATTTAACATGAATTAAATCCCTCAACAGTGAACTGTAGCTGCTCATTAGCCGCACAACACACTAGCAGCGAGCAACCTCCTGCTAGCGTTAGCGACTGTAACACACGGATGTTACAGTGAAAGTCAAAGATTATTAAACGTCCAGTAACACATATATCTCTTCCCTCGGGTGTTGCCAACCAGCGGCACAGTTATTGGCTCAATGCTGCGTTTACGGCTGGGCTGAGAATGAATGGCGAACAGGAAGGAGCCGTCCAAACAAACTAACGCAGCCGCCGGAGTACCGACTGTCAGCGGCATCCACGACGAGCTAACTGTTACAGCCAACTCTCCGCCACAGACGATGTGCTGGTTTCAGGGTTTTCTTTCTGTCTGTCACCTGTAATTGTTGATATTCCTCGTCGATTTCGTCCCACTCCGTCTGAAACTTCGGCTTGGACATCGTGGTGCACCGTGGCTGATGTGGCGGAGAGGACGGCTTCGCAAGGTTTCCAGCCCGACTCTGGGTTTCTCCTCACTGACTGGCCACTCACGCTTTTTTAAACTCTGCTGCACGGAGCATGCGCACATCGTGTCCGGGCAGCCACTGTGGAAACATGGTCGAAAGTGACGACACAAGTAAATAAAGAATTATAGCAAATAAAATAAAAAAAATAAATAATAAAAACGATTTAGGCATCACCTGGATCCTCCCTGACACATTTAACTGCGAATTAAAATTAACTTTTAATTATCAAAGTTTTACACTGTACCCACTACAGTGCACAGTCCTGTTGCTAGGATACAACGAATGCTCGGCTTTCTCTCGGCTGTAAAGTTCAGCTAGCTAAGTTAGCTGTATAACATGTTTTCTTTATTCATTGGGTAGCTGCGTGGCCTGAGTTTACAAGCGGATTGAGTTTAAGTAAGTCATCCGCTTGGACAAATCGATAAGGTACACGTACTTTGCTTTAAATGAGTGTTTGACATTCTACTTTGGCCGGTGTTAGGTTACACTGTATAGTAACACTAACGTTAGCTAGCAATAAATGACTAGCTTTGTAACCATTGCTTGTAACGTTAAGTTAGCTAACTTGGCTAATTTAAACAAATGTAACTTCACCCTAAATGTGGGTTAATGTGTATTAGTTTGTACACTGTTGTTTGGTTTTTGCATACATGGAGAATAGGTTGAAATGTTTTTATCTAAAATATTTTGGAGTATAACCTTTGTATCATAATTCCTTGTACACACATTTCAACACCTGCATTTAAAGATGGGAAATGTAGTTTTTTTCCCCTCTGAAATGGGATTGTTAATATATGGAGAACCTGTACAGCTTCATGGGTGTAACATGTTACTTTTGTTATAGGGTTTTCATCAAGCTATCCCCAGCCATGCCCTACATTAAAAAATCTCAAAAAACTCAATCCACATTGTTGGATATTAAGTCACAGAAATGTGGACTGCGGAGTTCAGTTTTCTCTGTCAATGGAAATGAATACACCGGAGAGTGGCAGGACAACAAGAAGCATGGTGAGATTACTGTTTATGAGCTTCGACTAAACTGAAAGATTGTTTGATGTCTGGTTATGAAGCATAACATATTTTGGTTACACAATAAAATGTTGGTTTATTTTTTTTCCAAGGCAAGGGAACTCAGGTTTGGAAGAAATCTGGTGCCATTTATGATGGAGATTGGAAATTTGGAAAACGTGATGGATATGGTACCTACAGTGTGCTACTCCCTGGAACAAATAAGTATGCAAGGAAGTACTGCGGTGGATGGAAAAATGGAAAGAAGCATGTATGTATTTGATGTACTGTTATATATATATATCCACACTAGCACACATATATGTGCACTGATCCTTTTCTGTCTCTTTAGGGCTATGGGACGTACTACAACAGCTCAGCAGTTTATGAGGGGGAGTGGAGTGAGGACTATCGCAGCGGCTGGGGAAGGATGTACTACGAGAATGGAGATTTTTATGAAGGAGAGTGGCTGAAGGATAAGAATCATGGACAGGGCATCATCATATTTGGCAAGAGAACTTTGCTTTACATCCATTTTTTAAAATGTGAAATAGATTATAGTTTAGTGGGGTGAGATGTGTAATTTAAAAATCTGACTTTCCTACTTGTGTTTAAGCAAATGGAAATTGGTATGAAGGCACCTGGCGACAGGGCAAGAAGAACGGTAACGGGAAGTTCTACTATTCTGACAAAGGCCAGCTTTATGAAGGCATTTGGGTGGATGGAATACCAAAATGTGGGACCCTGTCTGATTTTGGGAGGGATGAAGCACCAACACCCACAAAGTATCCAGTTCCACAGGTACTACATTTTGACTTTTACAGCCACACTTCTGATCTGACTCAATCAGATAATAACGGACAACAAAGCAGCGTTCCGATGCATTATTGTGGATTAAAATATGAACATATCTTTTTCTTTAAGCTACACCTGGTGGATATGCAGTTGGTTTTAAGGGAAGCCCGGTCAGCCTACCTTGATGAGTGCTGAAGAACCACAACAAGAGGATCAACAGCAAGTTTCCACTCCACCACACACTCACAAAGAATAAAAAAGAAAATAGATGGCATGATGGCATTTAGTGTGTTCAGTTATGCTGATGTTTACACCCAAATAATTTGTCCTTGTCTGTGAAACAAACCAAAATCATCTATTAATATTTCAAATCAGCTGAAAACAATAGTGACATAATTTTAACATGTTAATCCAAGTAACTGTCATGACAATAAAAGGCTTGCTTCTAACTCATTATAACATAACAGATTGGTTAAATGTCAGGGTTCCTAAAAAATTACATACATTAAAGTAAAACAACTAATGATTACTTAATTCATTACATTAGACCTACTTGATACAATGTAAACACACAATCAAAGGCTATTAAAGCTGGTCATATGATAAATTCAACACTAGTATATATAGAATATACAAATTACACGTCTGCTTATTTGTTCTTATAGGGACTGATAATCCAAAAATTAAGCCTTTACTGTATTTTCTGTGTGCTACATTCTGACTGTACTACACTCTGTGACTTGAGAACTTGCAACCATTAAATGATAAACAAGCCACACTTCATTATTCAGTGAGGAAACTCTAATGCTGTGTTTTGTTCATAATTTAACTGTCTCTAATCATTCAGAAAAATACTAGCCCATGCAACCAGTCTGAAAAGATCTCATCACCAGCCCACCCCAACCTCTAATTATGAAGGAATATCTGCACCTATCAACATCCCACTACCTTTTCACTTCTGAATCCATCTACTAACCCATATGGACTCCTTCTACCTCAAATACAGACCGATGACTCAGACTGATGGGTTTTATTAATTAAGAATAAACCCCCAGTTAAATTAAATTTGAATAAACATTAGTCTGATTGAAAAGCACTCTGTAAAGAGTGAATGATGAAAGCAACATGCTAATTCAGGATATCAGACAAGTGCTCAGGCTTTACAAAATGAAGCGCAGCGGGAACACTAGTATCTAATATTAACAGGTACTCCACAGAGGTCAATGTGTGATTATGCAGTACGTGTAATGAGTCAGAATTCTTTAAAAAGCTTAAGTGTCAAAGAGGAGAATAGAAAATCAACCATCAGGCATGACTGGCGGGCTCAGGTGGTTATCCAACATAAGGGTGCTGAATGGTGAAAACAGATGTATCAAGTCGGCTCATGAACCTAAAGTTAAAGTGTCAGTGATTGCAAGTGAGTTGCATAGATAAGCTTAAAGATATTATTTCTGATATTCTGAAACTTCAAATGCCACTTGGTAAAAACGTGTTTATTTTAACACCACATACTGTGCTACAGATATAACACTGTAGTTTGGCAGCTGTTGAGTCAGTCTACACAAACAGCAGGGATTACAATTGCAAATGGTGAACAGGACAAGAAAACATGTGAAGAAGGAGGGTTAAATACTTGTGGTTTAAAAAACACAACAAAGTAATATATAAACAGTGTTCACTGACTACCGGATGACTAAATGCAGCAGGCAACAGACAGGATTCCAAGTTATTGTTCAAATGTCTTTGCCACAATGTAAGAGATAAATCAAGCAGCTATCACAGTTAAGACTTTCCAATTTTCAAGTTACATGCACTATGGCAGATTTGTTTGTGAGTTCACAGTTGATCACGTTTTCTAAAAAATACAAACAAAAGTAAATTTCAAACAACAAAAAGAGGTGAGACATCTTCATTCCTGTAAAAAAAAAAAATTAGAAGCCACTAATGTGGCATCTGGCTTAGAGAAATCCCGAGGGGGTCAGAGTTCCACCATAGATGTGTATCCACCACTTGTCTATGGGAAATGTGAGCTCGGAGACTGCAAGATGGAAGATTCCCCTCTGTTGTCCAGCTCGTTCTGTAGCCTGGTGAGATTAGATAGCTCCTCCAGCTCCTGAAACTGTCTGTCAGTCTTGTGGCTGACCAAGGAGCGGTAGAAATGCACAGCGAAGACTATGAAGACCAAACCGAAGGGGACCATAATAGAGGTGGAGGTAATAGCAGCTGCCACACCAGATGAAATGGTATTATTGCTCGACTTGTCGGGCTTAATAGGCAAAAATTTAACCCAGCAGAGTAGAACCACCTCGGCCAGGAAGAGCAAAGTACCAATTACTGTAGAGAAGGCCCACGCCAGTTCAATGTGTGGGTGCATTCGCTCGTGTGGAGACTCCTTCACCGAGTTGAGGTTGTGGACGTTGCTGACAGCCTCGATGTTGGGCAAAATGCAGGTGCTGACCATGAGAGCGAACAGGTGAACGGCCACAAGCACGGTGGTGCAGGCACTGAAGGCAATAAGGAGAGCAGGTGGGTAGGGATAGCTGTTGTCCAGTTGCACTTCCACCATAGCCACCTGGAGGGAAGGAAGAGAACAGGAAACCAACGTCACACACACACATGCCACAACTATGTAATAAGACTGATTAACCTACAGGAGAGTAAGAGGGGGATTTTGAAGACAGTGTTACCATAGCAAATCCCGAAAGTAGAGCTGATGTCCGGCTAGAAGCCTTCAGCTTGGCTCGACTCAGGTACAGCTTTCTCCAGGACAGGGCTTGCAGTGAATGCTCGTTCAGACTCATGTTCTCTACGGACTGGGCGAGCAGCTGCCGGCGTAGTTACCTTGTTACACTTGCGGAACACGACAGAAACAAGCGTTCAACATGCCAACAGTGTACACTTACAAAACATTTAACCTCGCCAGCTGACGGAACTGCGGAAGCTATTTTTTTCTTTCCAGCGTGTTGTGCTGCCTGCACCTTACATTACCCACAAGTCCGTGCGCCCTGAAGGGAACATCCGCTAACTGTCGGTGGCGTTTGCTAACCGACGAGCTCAGTAATCACCCCTCAGTAAACACTGATGTAACATAACACGACCAATGTGTAGTGATTGTCACAAATAAAGGGATTTTTTTTTTTGTCAACTTAAACGGTTGAACGTCCTGTTCACCAACGCCTGTGACGCACGTCACGTCCACCGTACGTTACAGAAACATAATTATTACTATCAGAATGAATGAAAGTGGATTAAGAGCTGTTTTTTTATTCTAAATATACAAACAAGCTGTTTAATCGCTTGTTTTTCCCTCTAACGTCTAACGTGGCGGGCGGAACCGTTAGATAATGAGAGTTTAAACGTTATGTGGGTTTTTTTGTTTTGTTTTTTTTTCGCCTTCGTCCACAAACGACAACAGCGCGCGGTCCGCCGGGGTGAACGTGCCCTCTTTGTAGAGTCCACTAACATTCTGTGACGTTGCCCAGCAATGTTTTGGTTCCTGGCGGTGACGTAATAGACAAAAACATGGTTCCCTTGTTTTGAACCTGAAACGCGTGCTAAGTGTTTCTTTAACTTCACTACGCATGAAGATGCTTTCCCGAAACTGAATGACTGGAGAACAATCATAAGAGACGATGGCTCAGGCCGTGGAAACGTGTGCTGCTGAATCCGGACGCAGGCTGGTGTGTACCATCTGCCGTGTTAACGTTAGCTTATGAAGCGAGATTGGCAGCGAGCTAATTAGTTAGCTAAGCTAACGCTTGCAACAGTAAACGTTGTGATATTCGTCAAGTCCCTTAAGCGGTTCAAGTTGGAGGCCACGGGGGGAGAAACGATAGATCTCGCATTGTAGATTTTTTATAACTTCTCTTATATTTGTAGTAGTTAACCGAGAGCACGTCAGTTAAAACAAGATAAACCAACATCTTAGATCAGTGAATCTCTCTCCCCCCACCCCACCTCCCCCCCTGCAAACATTTCACATTTATCGTTACGGATTAATGTACCAACAGCTGCATCCCCCCCCAGGACAAGTGTCGTTTAATGCTTATCGTACTTGACATCACGTTGAATTTAAAAATAATATGCAACTAAAGTAACGTTGTACTCTAAAAAGGAAAAACTGAACATGACCCTCTTTACTCCAGTTTTCAAAGTTAGGGATGAAATAAACGTTCAGTCGTTGCACATCAGTCACACTGGCTGTTAATGGAGAGGGAGAGAGGGGACGGGGGGTCTGTTGTGACAGAAAAAGAGTTTGCTTTTTCCACGCATGTTGCAGTGTTTTTGTCATCATGTAAATCATCTCGTTTTCAATGGCAGCGCTCCATCTGCCGGAGGATGTACGATGAAAACGAGGATTTGTCTGATGTGGAAGAAATTGCAAACATTAGAGGCTTCAGTGTGGAGGAGAAGCTTGTCAGTGACAGTTACAGCTCAAAGTTTGTGCACTCGATGGAGGGCAAAGGTAAAGTAACACATAGCACCTAATGTGTCCTTTTTGTTATTAAATATTTGAAATGGAAAGATGCATGTCTGTAGCACAATAAATATGTTTTTCCCATAAATGTTTTTGTCCATAACTGTCACTGTCTTGCAGACTTCTCTTATGAATATGTGCAAAGGGAGGCTCTCAGGGTGCCACTCATTTTTAAAGAGAAAGATGGATTGGGGATCAGGTGAGAGGCAATTTAAAGATAGTTGTTAAGAATACTCTGACTGTGCTCATGGTGTTGTTGTTTATTTATGCATTTACCCATTTGGCAGTGCATATTAAGTGATATCGATCCCTCTCTTAAATTCACGCAGAATGCCTGATCCAGAATTTACTGTTAGTGAAATTAAAGGCTTAGTTGGTAAGTACAACACCACACACACATACACACACAAATATATGCATGTATGTTTCTTAATGTAGTAATTAGAGTGATTAAACAAAACAAAAACTATTTGCATCTAGAAGGAGTGAAAGTATCACAGCTGCTAATTCAGAGAATAAGAACTGCTGCCAGATAACAAATATCTGCTATAAAAAAAAAGTTATGAGAGCTCAGGGTTAATCACACAAAAATGATCTGAGGTGTCCTAAAAGTATCAGTTATCAGTATTTATTGCCATATTTACTTCCCTAGCACAGTTTGTGGAAGGTAAATGTTAGAAAGAAACATGACTATCTCATCTATGATGGATTGTTTAGTGCGGTTGGGATAGTGAGTTCCGAAACGAGTACTATCAGTTTAAAGGCCCAGTTTTGACAGATATTGTAAACAACCACTCCTTACTTAAGTTTATGAGTTAAAAAAGTGTAAAATATTGCACTTAGAAGGAGAAATAAGCACCAAAACTATTGTTGTGTTGTTGTAAAATAATCAGACAGATGGACATAATTTACAAAGACGTAAAAAGAAAACAGTCACAGTGTGTTTAAATAACATAAATAATATATGATATTGTTACAGGTGGTATTATTGTTTTTGGTTCATCTATCTGTCTGCCTGTCTATTTGTCATATGGACAATTATAGTGTGTGTGTGTGTGTGTCCATACAGTGGTGTTTTCTATGCACTCCCTTTAAAAACATCTATCATCTTTTTATTTTTTATTGTCATATAAAAAAAATCAGATCATTTTCCAGTTGCAATTTCCTAATTGTTAAAACTACCACTGTATGAAGTGAAGCATGAAAGACATGCCTGGGGCTTGGGGTGTAGTTACTCCATCTAGTGGGGAAGATGGTGAATTACATGCATTACATGAAGTCTGTTAACAATGCACATTTTCTTTCTGTGTGAATCTCACAACAGCATGGTAGATTGTTTAAAACAGGTTTGCAAACAGATTATATTACATGTTAATGACGCTCGAAGTGCTCACACCTTAATTTAAATTTGTCCTGGTTGTGGCTTGCAGGCAGTCGCCGGTCTGTGGATGTTATGGACGTGAGCACTCAGAAAGGCTCTGAAATGAGCATGGCTCAGTTTGTCCGTTATTATGAGACACCAGAGGAAGAGCGGGACAAACTCTTCAATGTCATCAGCTTAGAGTTCAGCCACACTAAGCTAGAGAACCTCATCAAGCGGCCCACAGTGGTAATAACACATGACGCTCTTTGTATGATGTTATGAAGGCTTTCATGAAGGCCACACATCTGGTAACCATATGCAGAGTATGACTAACAAGATTGTGATCGCTGGCTAAAAGTGTAGTTTTGGTCACAGGTGGACCAAGTCGACTGGGTGGACAACATGTGGCCTCTTGATCTGAAACACAGCCAAACAGAAGCCACCAATATAATCTCAGACATGAAGTACCCTAAAGTGCAAAGGTATGACTTTACTAGATTGTGTTTCTGTTTTCATTAAAAAAAAAAACAACTCTTTATCAGCATGTCAGTCTATGACTGAAATGTGTAGAGCAATATATAGAAAATACTTGAAGAAAATTGCTGCTTCCTTGGCAGTAAATACAACATCTCCTCCCATCTGAATGCCTCGTCTATCGCTCCATCATTGCACAGCGCTGCATACTGTCGGTGTTATCCATCTCCTGTAAGTGCTCTTGATTGTTGCTAGGCAGCAGAGTTTTCCACAGTGGAGGATGGTTTTATAACAGCTGTAGTCTGACTGCACAGGCGCCTCTCAGCCAATCAGCTGTCAGCATTTGTGCATAGTATAAGAGTCCAAAACCAATTGTGGCTTTCCTTTTAACCTCAGTTGCCTATGAACCCCACTTTCTACCCTTTAGTTTTTCCTTTGAGTTCCATTTATTGCTTTTAATTATATTTGATTGAATCACAGTTAGCTGAATGCTGGTGACATAGATTGGGTTGTACATAATGGAGTTATCATTCCAGCCAATACTGATGCCAACAGTTTTAATTTCAGTGTCGCCACTAGTGGTTAGTTTAGCTGTTGTTACGCTGTTAGAGTGATGCTTGGTGTCGGTGCAGACATGCTTTTTTAGTATCTACTCTGTTTTATTACTGAGGATTACGTGGCTTGCAAGTAGTATGTATTCACCAAAGGAGTCATGCACAAATCACGTCTGCTTAACTGTGGAAAACACTTGTTTTTTTGTGACATTTTACTTTTCTTTATTTGACAGAGACAGTGCATATTAATAACATCTCTGAAAGTATGCCTAGCCAGAAAGTCTCATTTTCTTCTGTAGTCCCCCAGCAGGCAATCGTTGAAAGCACAGATGTCAAGAATGAAAACATCGAAAATACATTCAACAATAAAAGCGGGGACAAAAACAACAATATTTCACATTTTTCCAAAAGCAGGTTGATCTTTGAAGGGTTCCCTGTAAATTGCTACCTGTCAGACTTGCTTATTTGTCTTTTTTAACAATGTTTACATCATATCATATTCATTTTGCAAAAAGTCATGTGGTTGTAACGTCATTTGTTCTAATAGAAATTTGTAATTATTAGAGAACCGAAAGGATTTTTCTCATTTATTATTTGATTGAAATAAAGTTAATTAATATTTGATAATAGATCAATTGTTCAAATCATTTAAAGAAAAAATGACAAACATTCTGTTTTTTCTTGTCTTATGTGATTTTAAAATGAAATCTTTGGGTTATGGACAAACAAGCAATGTGAAGAAGTAATTTTGGGCTGTTTTTTCACTATTCCAACTAATTGATGAATCATGAAAAAAAAAAAGAAAATCATCAGGTTAATTGATACTAAATGAAGTTCATGATTTTCCCTCATGCAAGCAAAATTACATTATTTGACTTCACAGTGTTTTATTCTCATCATTGCTTCAGTCAAAGTCATTTGTTGCTCTAGTTGTAGTCACATTTATAGTTCAGTAGAGTATAAACTAGATAGTCTTAGAAGTCATAATATTGTTGTAATGGTTTGAATTTGAAAACTCACTCCAGTTAGCAGGCAGTCAGTGATAAAGATACTTGTTCTTGGTAGCTGCAGCTTGAAAACCTAGTCACATAGATAGTGTAGCAGTAGAATAGAAAGAGCAGAACTATCTGGCTTAATGTTACCACACCATTCAGCATCTTAACTGACTCATCTTAACATTTACTGGTATCATTTTGAACTATTGGCTACAGCTGACTGGTTAACAAGCTTTCCACTCAAGTAGCTGTCACATCATCTCTCTGAGGGATTCACAACATAATACCGTTTCCTTGGTAATGTGTGTGTTTTGTTTTTTTTTCCTGTGTACACCTCGTTGGTTAGATATTTTCCGATAAATAGAGCTGCTCCCTTCTAGCTAAATTACTGAATCATTTATGTCTTGGAGTGCTAATCACTCCTCCATTAATTTCCAGACGAGAGATGTCCCATCGTGAACGATCCTCTATGCTGTAGTGCTCTTGTGAGTTATTTCTAGTGGTGTTTTCTATTGGTAGCTGCTGTTTTCAGCAAAACACAACTGAGATTACAGCTGGTTTCTAATTGGTTGAGCTGTTCCTTTTTTATGGACGTCAGTCTGATATACTCGTACATCCCTGTTATCTACTTGTCTACAATGTGATTGAATTGTTTTATGATCCCCTTTTCTGCTATAGGTATTGTCTGATGAGTGTGAAGGGCTGCTACACAGACTTCCACATTGATTTTGGGGGAACATCTGTTTGGTATCACGTATTCAAGGGACAGAAAGTAAGTTCATTCTAGTCTCTTATAACATGTCTGATATTTTGTGCCATTTATTAGTATTCCTTTCATTGAACATTAAGGGGAGAGATTAAGAAAATGTGTGTCTGCTAATATTCCAGTTGATATTTCACCCAACCTGGCCATGACTGCACAGCATAACCTCTAAATCAAAAAAAATCCCTGCTTCTCCTCAGGTGTTCTGGCTCGTGCCTCCAAACACTCATAACCTTGCCCTTTATGAGGACTGGGTCCTGTCAGGAAAGCAGAGTGATATCTTCCTGGGAGACCGAGCTGATGGATGCCAGAGAGTGGAGCTTAAGCAAGGATACACCTTCTTCATCCCATCTGGTGTGTTGGCATGGTTGTTTTAAAGTAGCCAGCAGGAAAAGATTAGCTTCCACTTCAATGAACAGTCATGCCAAGCTTTACCTGACTATTATGCAGTATATTCAGCTATGTTTGCATGAACCCTCTTTACATTCCCTTATCTCTTTAGATATGTCTTTTTGCTTTGTGTAATTAAGGGTGGATTCATGCTGTCTACACTCCCGAGGACACGCTGGTGTTTGGAGGCAACATTCTGCACAGCTTCAACATTCCTATGCAGCTTACCATCCATGAGATAGAGAATAGGACTAAGGTAGGAGTCTTGCTGCATTCCCCAATGTGTGGCTGACCTGCACTGCAGTACAGTAAACTCTACCTGGGATAAATTAAATAAATCGGAGAAACAGAGGAAGTTGAAGAGATGACCTGCAACAGAGGACAATGAGAGATATGGCCGAACAGGATAGAAATAAAGGAAAATAGTCAAACAGCTTTATTTTTGGGATATAAATGTGTATTAATATAATATAAATATAAAAAATGTATATAAATGTAAAAGACAAGAGTAATACTTGTTTGTGTGTTGTAGTTTGAGAGGGAAAGGAAACATTTTAATACCATCTCCATGGTACCAACTCGTGATCAAGGCAATATTACTTTATGTGTAGACTCTGGATTTGATTGTTTTTTTCTTAGGAAGAAAATAATTATTCTTAAGATACCAGTGCACTCTGTGGCTACATATTTTATTTAATAAGAATAATAATCACATCTCGAGGAACTTACACGTGCCGAGATTGCAGCTTGTTCCCTAAGAAGCCCACGTGTTTGTTTGTGTGCGTGAGAGGACAGTGTCTGGAGTGATGGGACACAACATATTTCAACGAGTAATAATCTCTTAGCTGTGTCATCTCTTTACTCTGCTGTCAGTGATAAACAAACACAGACAGCACATAAGCATATTCACGGACATGAAATCAGGTTTTGCTAACAGAAATCTCGCTGTGTTAACCACCCTCTGATTGAGACAATCTGAGTTTCTGATTACATGACATTTGAGAAATCAACAATAACCAATATGCATGTAAATATTAGGTGTTTTTTTACAAGATCGACACTGAGATTTGTCCCCATTTTCAGGTTCATTCCAAGTTCCGCTTCCCCTTCTACTATGAGATATGCTGGTATGTCCTGGAGAGGTACCTGCACTGCCTGACCAAACGGACCTACCTGTCTCAGGAGATCTCCAAAGAGCCTGTAGCAATGGGTTAGGGAAATTAAATTATTTTGTAATATCTCTTGTGTGTCCCTGGATAATGTTCAAAATATTGTATTATAGTTGTAATTAGCTCTCTCAAGTTATTAGACCTCTTATTAACTGTATTTTCCTGCTCTCCATCTGTCCTGCTGTATTCTAACAGGCTTCGCAGCAACAACATTTTAGACTACTGTACTTATTTCTAAGATGTGGATGATCTAATTATGTTTGTGAGCATTGTGAACATATCTGTATTTCATTTTAATCTTATGGATCAAGACACAAAAAGGTGGCGTTAAGGATTGCTTGCTGTGTTTTTGCAATCAAACAGAGTGGACAGACATGATAAGTGATTTCTCACATTTTCTGTCTTCAGACAATGAGACAAAGGCAAACACAGAGAGCCCCTCCTCTGACTCAAGGAGCCAGGACATGAACGAGGATTCATGTGAGACTCAAGTCAGGGAGGACCAGGGTGAAAAACCAGAGAGAGTCACCCAGGATGGCCCCTGCTCTCCCGACAACCGGAGGGGGCAACACCTCAAAGCTGTTTTATCTGTTGACTCTGAGGACAGCTGTAATCCCGGATCCACCTCTCTAGATTTCCCCCAAACCCCCTCTGACTCTCCAGCCTCAGAGTCTCCTAATAAATGGACGCATTTGACGAAGTTCGAACTGAGCGGACTCATGACGCTGGTCGAGAAGCTGGAGTCGCTCCCTGAAAATAAGAAATGTGTTCCAGAGGGAATAGAGAACCCGCAGGCCCTCCTGGAAGACATAAAGGTAAGAGACAAAAAGACGAGTTTGCACACGCAGTCATTTGGACAATAGACATGACAGACTTTTGTTTTGTTTGTTCTCTGTGGCTGTCCAGGTTGTCCTGAAAGAACATGCCGATGACGATCCCAAATTAGCGATAACTGGAACTCCTGTGGTGTACTGGCCTAAGAAAACTATAAAGGTAAGAATATTTGAGCTGCAGTGTGAAACTTTCTTATTACGTTTGCTCCAAACATTGTTCTTTATCTATATTTGGGACCTTTAAAGTTAAGAGATTAAGTTGATACACACTTATAGAGACACAGTAATCATAGTTATATAAAGTCAGCACAAGTGAGGGACAGAGTTTTGCACCTGTTGCTTGAATTTGTGGTGCAAAAACACGTGTACAACATAAATGGAGACATTTAAAGTGTTTTACTGTTATGGGTGTATATTGAGGAGGTTTGTAGTCCAGTGCAAGAGTGCAGTTTATTTTTTTAAAGGCGTAACAATGAGTGAGTGGTGAGGATGTAGCCACAGGCTGCTGATTAATGTGGATAGTAACAGCTCAAAACCTGTATGAAGCATTTCTTTAATGTCTCACTGTTAAAGCAATTGCAAATCTAATCTTACCTTTGATTACTTATTTTCAAAGCAGTGTCTGGTTTTCAATATTAATACTGATTTTGAATTAAATTAGCTTTAGAGCTGTGTTAGTAGTAGCAGAGTAGTACTACTTTAGTGTAGTACTATTGCTATCATTACTATAGATGACAGTTTGTATTTGAAGCCAGGTTGAAGCAGTTCATTTTTCAAGGATTGTTTTTTTAAATTTTAGATCCTTACAAACAAATTCGTAGAAATGGGAATTGTTTACATCTAAATGGTATTGTTTACGCTCCATGCTTGACATTTTTTCACTGTTTTTTCTCTTCTTACTGTTCTCACCTTTTTCCTCAGTCTCCTCTTGTCCTCATCAATTCCAGTCCCTGTTCCTCTCTTACTACAACACTAATTACACTACTTCCCTAGAGCGGTAGATGTACTTATTTGCATAATTTTGATTTAACAGGCTGCAGTATTGCCTAATGAAGTAAATAATGAGTTTTTTAAAAACTTATTTTTGCATTTCCTTCATACTTCTACATACTGTGTTTTGCTGTCATTAACAGACACAAAACAAGCTTTTAATGGGACTGTTCTCTGTTGACTGTTATTTTCTCAGACTGTAGATGACATAAAACATTGTTTACTATGAACAGAAACTATATGAGACATTTTTCAGACCTGATTTCACTGCTTACGTTTTTTGTTGTTACGCTTCAGGCTTACTCTGGGCTCAAATTGGTATTTATAGTAACCGGTCATTGGGCTTATAGTTTGCACTTTTACTCCTCAGAAATTAAAATGGATGTTTTTCATATTCATATTTTTCAGTCAGTGCGGATCAGTTCTTGATTATGCATCTGCCCTTTGAGTATCAGTATGCTCTACAAAATGCCCCCTTAAAAAAAGTCCATGTGAAACAAAAAGAAATAACTGTAAACACTTGAAGGCTTAAAGTGTCTTTTATTTCTATATCCTTTATCCTTTCATTTAATCACGTCTTGAGCCCCTAAGAGGGTCAAGGCTTTTACATTGAGTGGCTAAATGTAAAAAGAAAAAAAAACAAGTACTTATGCGAGTTCCCCTAATACCTATTATGAAAAGGTCAAAATACATATTGCTGAAATGATACACAGATGTACAGTTTTCCTTTTTAATTGCTAAAATGTTTAGGATTGAATGGATAATAGTGGTGAAAAATACAGTATGTGTTCAGGCATGTTAGCCAAAATGAGCTAAAATGCACATTTTAACTAGTTAAGTGTATTTACATGTACCACACTGATGACTCCATTTGTGTTTGCTGTGTTTTATGTGCTTTTAAATCTTTATTTTTGTATGAATAATGAATTGTCCAAACAAACGCATAACGTGTTTTACAGGCAGAGGCGCCTCAACAGGAGGTGGGAGGATGGGATGTGTTGTATATGAATGTATGGGAGTGATTTCTCTTGGTTTATGGACCCTCTGGATCACCCCCACCCGTGCCTCCAAAGGCCAGCTGCTGGTTGTGGGGCCTCTTTGTGTTTGCCTTTTGTAATGAGATGCCATCTGGCTCTATTGGCTGTGTGAAGCCTGCTATCCTCTCCCTGTGATACACATCATGAATATGACAACACCTTTTCTGCATTTTCTCTCCTCATTGGATAGAGGCAGACTTCCCTCCCCAGTACATATTATGATACACAGCAGCCTCCCATTGGCCCCGAGCTTCCCAACACCCCTCCTCTTTTTCAGGGAGTCGATCCATATTAATGAGGCAGGCTTGTCTGTGTTTCCTACATCTGCTTGTGGTATTGTGGAGCTTTGGAGTAGAAGGGGAGGGCTGTAGGCCAGACAGCGGTAGCAGGAGTAGAAGGAGGAGGAGACTGCAGCCATGTCAGTTTGCTGTGAGCTGGACGGTGTGTGAAAAAAAACCAACCATGGCCATGTCGCTGAGCGCTGATGATGAGGACTACGACTCAGACTCTGAGCAGGTTAGCACACCAAACCCCTGCAGGCAGGCGTAGTGAGGCCACCAGAGGAATGCTTGTGCCAGACAGAGCGGTGTGCAGCATCACAGGGCAGCGAGGAAATGGAGCTACCTGGAGAGAAATGCATTGGTTCAGTCTACCTTCTGTGCTTGCTCTTTGATTTTTGTGCTTTTTTTTTTTTTTTTTTTTGATAGGTTTGCTGTTTTGTGTGTGTTTCTGTGTGCATGCTTGTGTGTTTTCGTCAGGTAAAACCAGCAATAGGAGAAGGCTGTGTTTATATAGCTCAGAGCCTGAGGGCTGCTATTGGTTGTTTCAGAGCAGAGAGGCAGAGGAATGGGAATTCATGTAGATGCATTCACTGGATTGATCCATGAATCTTTCCCGGCTTGATTGTAAAAGCATCAGATGTGCATGTTGGAACATGTGTGACAGGTTTATTGTGCCAGTATGTGTTGATGAGAAATCAGTCATTGTGATGTGATTTTTGATAATATTTACTGTAAATGGCTGGGAGAGCTACGATGAGACTTGCTTACACAGCAAGAAATGTGTTTTGTTAATTTAAATATTTATTTTAATTAACTCTGAACTACTCGCCCTTACACTAATTCTGAGGCCGCATTTGGTTTTGAAAAACACTGACAATCACCTGTTCTTGGTCAACAAAATATGCCAATATCAGGTGTTATAAGCAAACATTTGTTTAAGTAGTAGCATCTCCTACAAACCAAATGTTTGACTGACAGAATTCCTGCTTGTACAGTATATTCTCAACATCTCCGACGCATGCTCTGCAAACTCTGTAAGGAGTCTTTTGACACTGTTGCTGTTGTTGTTCAGCCCTCAGCTTCTGAGTAACTATACACTACAGAGGTTTTATTAGAGTTGGCAACACTTGTTCCACTTCCCTCTTGTCATATTTAAAACCTTGACTAACCACTACATACTGTGTGCTGGGGCAATCGCAGGTTTTTGGCTTTACAGCATATGCCACCTCGAAAGCTTAACAGGATAGTAATCCTTCCAGGAACTTGTGAACCCAATTTTTTTGCCAAGTCAGTTCTTTCCATATAATTTCCTAAACAAGGTAAAGAGAAATCACAAATTTTGGTCAATTGTTTGAGAAACGTCACATAAATGTTTGTATAGACTTTGGATACCCTCAGTATTGTGTGTACTGCTGTTACAACCAGCTATCTGATTTTGATAAAACAATATGTGCTGTTGTTTCTGCAGTCTGTTATCAGTATGCTCTGTCTTCAACGTGTGTTTAAGGTGATGTTAAGTATAACCACAGTAATTGTTTTCCACTGTTCTCCACAGTAGCTCAAGAGGCTCCACGGCTGTGTCAATTAACATTAGAGTGCTCATTATGTTTCCCAGCTGAATGAGCTTTGAAGAGCCAAGAAATTACTAGTACCAGTGACATCACACTTGAGACAGAGCTACAAAGACAGAAAGGCACCTCATTTCTTCGGTGGTGTTGTTGTCAACCTTTGCTGTCATTTAATTCTGAGCATCAGAGGGATGTCTGCTTTAGGGATCACTCACTTAGTAGTCGTTGTGGGGGGGTTAGAAGGGATTTAGGGGACAATATGGACAGCATTTTGATGTATCTTTTCATTTGCCTTGTATACCTAGTTACAGGTTGAGTCAGTTATTAGTAAAGACAGTGCACACTACAGTGTGTTGCCGCCTGTTATTTAATGTGATCTGACATTGGCAGATGGATCATAACTCTGACCTGTTGTCTCATGCTTGTAGGACTTGGCATAAGCTTGGTTACAGATCACAGCACTGTGTCTTTTCTGGGATATTTGGTCTCATTTCAGTGTTCTTCTGGAACAGACCTGTCTGTAATCCTCACAAATACCCCCAACACAACCCCCCCCAAATATCCCACTCTAATCCTGTCTGGTAACCACTTATCTGACTGCCCATGTCAATCTATTTCATTGCATTTGTTTGAATAAATTATTGTAATATGCCTAAGATTGAGCCTGCTTTCTTTTTCTGTTAGAGAGTCTCATTACAGTTCTTATTGGTTACAAGTCTGTGTGTCATAGACTGTTCTGTTAGGGAATGGGACGTGGCTGTTGCTATGCTGACGCTAGGAAAAATCTGCACTGCCGATGTAACTAAAGAAATCCGATCTTCATTTCCAAGAGCTGCAGTCTTTTGCACTCCTTGTTCTTGTGTATTCCATCTCATACATCACCACATATTTCCTCACGTGGCATGGCTGGCAGTATTTTGACATGTGGTTTTCATGTTGAAAATACATTGTTGTGGTTGGGTTCTCAGCCTGAGAAGGAACAGAATATATAATGCAAGAACAATAATAATGAAGATCAAAGGCATCTCATCTCCATTACCCAGTTCTATTAAATAGAGCACATTTAATGTGTACTGTTATAAATCCGTCTGCGCGCCCCCGAACACAGAATAATGGGTCCTAGTGATCCATGTGTGAAATGTAGCCATAAGTGCAGTTTCTCTTTGAAGTAGGAACATGCAAGCAAGTGAAGTGCTAAATTTGGAAGATGCCTCCGGGGACATTCTTGATGTGTTTGTTTTCCCCTGGATGCTGTGCTTTAACAGCCAGGAAAAATGTGTGTTTATATACACCATGTTTTGATCAGGTTGGTGGATATGTATTATATGCGTATGTATATTTGAATGCAGGTGTTGTTTCTTCTGTGTATGTGTTGTGAAACTATTGACCCGGAGTTACAAAGAGAAAAGAAAGGATTAGGCAGCACCGCCTACATGCACCATAATACTGACCTCTGTTGAATGTAATAGAATGTTTTGGAATATTTTCTTATTACGTAACGTGATTGTTAGTGCCTATTATTGTGCCATAGCACCATTATTAAATGAAATGTAATGTGATTCAGAACATTATATTGAGGTGCTCTTCAGAGCGTAATGCCTTCCTTTTACTGAAATCTACAATTTTGGAACTGAATTGACAAATTCATAGGTTTAATAATATATATTGTTAATAATAATGCAAGCTTGCTGTCTTTAACACAATACATACTACAAATTAGCATCACAGTATTACTATATGAATGCGCTTATATTTTTATATTTGACTACTTTACAGTATTAATAGCATACTTTGTATGTACCATAACGTTGCTAAATATTTTTTAAATTATACATTCATCCTTTATCAGCTAACTAATTAATCTGACCTTCCTTTATCCTTTTGGTGAAATATTTGGCTTTTCATCTTAGGCACTTGACACTGTATCCTCTTTATCCTTTTAGCCCCGGCCTCCCAACCGGCCGAAACCTAAGATGGCAGCTTCTCCTGCATCAGCAGTCAAGCTGTCAGCCAGTCGGGGAACATCTGGTGCCAGGCGGAGAAGGACTCGCTGTCGTAAGTGTGAGGCATGCCTGCGGACGGAGTGTGGAGAGTGCCACTTCTGTAAAGACATGAAGAAGTTTGGTGGGCCGGGCCGTATGAAGCAGTCTTGCATCATGAGGCAGTGCATTGCAGTGAGTTCATTGTTTGTAATGTTCTCTGTGAATTCCTTTGTGATAACCATGTGTTCATCTCTATGCCAAATATGAAGCTACAGCCAGCGGGCGATTAGCTTAGCTTAGCTGAAAGACTGAAAACAGGAGGTAACAACTAGCCTGGCCTCTAAAGGTCACTAATTAACAGGTAATTTCTTGTTTGTTTAATTTAGACAAAACCAGAAATGATTCCCAGTGATTTCCTGCTGTCTTGTCCTCACCATTAGGTTGCCAGACGTTGTTGTGGCTTTCCTTTAATATTGAATACTTGATTTTGGTCATCCATGTGGTTGTGAGATCGTTAGGGTGTACAACATGGTTGCTAGGGCAGCACAGGATGATTGTTGGGCTGGTTGCTATGTTCGTGACACAAGTAATATATAGCAAGTAGCAGAAGTAAGCAGTCACAGAGGGACATGGAAAAAAGAAAGAGAGACAAAGACTGTGTTTCAGCACCATGGAGAGAGACATGTAAAGAGAGACTGAGTTTGAATGTTTCTGCAACATACAGTATAAAAGCATTGAGAATCACTCAGTCTGAATGATTGACCACTATAAACAGGAGAGTGAGAGAGACTTGGCATCACTCCCAATATCCCACACTTGCAGTCTTTAAGCTCTTTAGCAACTGTGTCCCACTTTTAAGATATGCCAATATGCTTAACCCACTCTTGATGTTCATTTACCCTAATACAGCTTCAGAGCAGTGCTCAGAGCTAAGTATATGCCACAGTTCATCACAGTCTGCTGTGCCACATTAGCCCATTTGTTGGTGTTAATGCAACTAGCATTAACTAACTGACAATAATCAACAAACAAATTGGAAGTTATTAAGGGCATGACTTATTGTATTCAGTGAATATGACCAAATGTAAATCAGATAAAATATATAAAATATGGTGGCAGGCAGTGAAATACAAGGCTTTCAGCGATTTTTGAAAGAGGAACAATGATTAAGCAATGAAAGAAGGCTGTGCCATCAAAATGTATCTTATTCACTTGTATAAACTGGCTCTTACATTGATGTAAAATATGCAGCCAGAATTAAGTGAAGGCTCCACACTCCAGCTCCAGCGTGCACATCAGTATTACATCACTCAGCTTGAAGTTTCTGTTTTCTGGTTTCTTAGTTGAGTCATGTGAGTAGGCGATTACAAGCCATGGCAGTGAAATGATCTGAATTCATGAAAATCAGTTTTTGCTTCACAGTTTGCCAACAGCAGTGTCAATATACTGTTTGATCCACAGGTAGCACGTACACAAAACATCACAGATAGCTAATTCGCTTGAGTGCAGCATTATATGTGAACCTTAATTAATTAATGGAGACCTTGTGAACGGCGGGGTTGCGGGTTAGCTACTTTGTCAAACAGAGGATATTGATTTGATACAGCAGCCCTATCTTCAAGCCTCTGTTTTTTTTTTTTAATCTCCAGCCCGTCCTGCCCCACACAGCAGTGTGTCTCGTCTGTGGAGAGGCAGGAAAAGAGGACACAGTGGAGGATGAGGAAGAGAAGTTTAACCTTATGCTCATGGAGTGCTCCATCTGCAATGAGATTGTTCATCCTAACTGTCTTAAGGTAAACTACCCAATATCAGGATGTATTGATTATTGTCATCATAAACTATGTTGAATGATTGAGCTCTTGTCTGTTTAATTTATAGCCTTTCACTGTTTAATCGTCGCTGGGGCAGATTTACCTCTTATTTTAAGATGACGTTGCACTGCGGTTTTCATTTAGTTTCTCAGTGTATTCAGCGCCTGCCACTGAACCTCTAGATGCGGAGAGGGCTCATAAATGTGGTTTAGAGGAGGGATTTCTATGAGATCACTAAGCTACTAAGAAATATTAAAGGACCAGCGTGTAGGATTCAGTGGCATCTAGTGGTGAAGTGTTAGATTGCAACTAGCTGAACACCGCTTGCGGCTGTATTGACGACCTGGGAATGAGAACGAGCTGTGAAGTGTGTAGGAGAAACCACGGTGGCCATGAAACACGCAATAAAACGCAAAGGCCCTGTCTACAGCCAGTGTTTGCTTTGTTCTTTCTGGGCTACTGTAGAAACAGGGCAGTTCAACAAGGCGGCCTCTTATCTGGAGATAAAAACAAATTTGCAAATTTTAAGGAAACCAAAACACAACCATTCCTATATTCAGGTGATTATACACTAATAGAAACATGCCTATGAATATTATATCCCATTTCTGCCAATAGACCCTCTTAAATGTTACACACTGGACATTTAACATTGTGATCTTGATTACAAACTCCTGAAGTGAGTGAGAAGTGAACATGAGAAAAACTGTTACTCAGAAAATTATGATATTATAATCTTTACTATATATCTAATTATTAACACATTAGGAGACAATAAACAAGGTCATGGTAAACAAAAAGGGGATGAAAAATAAAGCAAATCAAAGACGCATAAAATACACGCGAGGTATAGAGAGAGAGACTCACAGGCGGAGCAGGAGGTGGTGTTTATATGGACGTTAATGCTTAGGTAAATGCAACCAACATAATTTTAAATGTCTTAACAAAACAAAGAAAAGTTGACCCCTTGTAGTGTTTTTACAGCAGATTTATGAACACAAACCACAACATCTGTCCACTTGTTTGCTTTACAGTAATCAGTAATGTTGTGTTTGTTAATAATAGCCTTATTGCTTCAATCTTGTTTCTAATAATCAGTTTTTTGTGATGTACAAGCCTATATTTATTGCGTTTCTTTTCCCACTACAATCTTCCTTACGGCTCTTGTTAATCCCATCTGTACTCTATTTACGTCTCCTTTTCAGAGACAAATAGTTTGACCTCAGTAAATCCGCCAGAATTTACAATCAACCTCTGTTAACACATATTCTTGTCTTATTTGCGTGATCCTCCCTTAAATGCATATGCAGTGAGAATGCAATGTGTTTGGGGCAGAATGTGTCACATCTGAGCCTGAAAAAAGTGCAAAAACCCTAGTTTCTATCTGCTCCTTTTCAGGTAAAAGATTCAAACGGAGTAGTCAATGATGAGTTGCCAAACTGCTGGGAGTGCCCAAAGTGCAACCATGCTGGAAAAACAGGGAAAGTAAGTATCTGTATGGGCTTTGTTCTATATGTGTCTGAACTATGAAATGACCGAACAGCTGACTCCGTCTCAGATTCTCAGAACCAGAGAAATAAAGTTGTGCTCTCCTTTTTTCTAACCTTTTGGCCTCAAAGCAAAAAAGGGGGCCAGGATTCAAGTACGCGTCAAACCTCCCTGGCTCGCTACTGAAAGAACCACGATTAAACCGGGACTCAAAGGAGGAGCCTGACCCGCCAATGGTGGCTACAGCAACTGTTACTGCTTTGACTACCACATCTGCTGTGAAGAGAAAGGCAGAGCGGGACGAATGCCCTAAGAGGAAAGAGGAAGAGCCTCCAAAGAAACGTCCCCCGCTGTTGTCTCTGGATGGTACGCCTCGACCACGGCTCGAGGACAACCCATTAAGAAAAAAGAGGAAACTTTTTGACACCAACGACGAACCTGTCATTGTGAAAAAGAAGGTAAGACCCATATCTATTTGTGATCTTATCAGATATGCTGAATAAAGATGAGTTTTATTTGTTTGAAGGGAGAGTCCTTTATGTTGAACAGTAGAGCCTGTGAGCATCAAGTTTCAGTAGGTTTTTATAGTAGCTGTTTTGGGGCTTTCGATCATATAACATGATCTTCATCAGCAGATGGAGTTTCCCCTGTTGTCATGTAATTGTAAACATTCGAATTTCAATTTTCTCTGAGCAAGTTCATTCTTGACCTTGTAAACAGCAGTTGACAAAATAATCTCACCACGAAGTCCATTTAGTCGCTGTTCTACATGATCTTTCTTGCTGATGCAAAATTCATGGTTCATTACCAAGCTTTATTACACTGTGCCATGCTGTTTGTAATTTGCAAAGGAAGAACAATATTGTCAGAAAGTGTGTTTTAAGTGTGAATATTTCAAAGGAGAAAGATAAAGAAGAGCTGCGAATAGAAGAATTGAACAATGTGCAAATGCACTGTAGAAGAGTTTCTCAACCTTTGAGTTGAGACTTGAATTGAATTGTATTATGTCAGCATTTCATATTTCTATTTCCCTAAATTGTCTTGACAATAGAATATACTATAAACTAGAATATCCAAAAACTTAATAGAATATTCAAATTTACTGATAAACTGATAATTATTTCTGCTTCAAATACATTTTAAATAATCATGTTCCTTCTGTTCTTTCTCAGAAGAAGCTTTCAAAACCGGAGGAACCCTTGACTCCGAAGCTCTTGCGGCAAATCAAGACAGAGAATGACCACGGTGATGAAGACGACGACCAGGAGGATCATGACGAAGATGGATTTTCCTTGGACAGGATGGATGTAAAGGAGAAGAACGAGTATGATGACGAGGACCAAGAAGAAGACGAGGAGGGAGAGGAAGAGGAGACAGTTAAAAAAGAAAGAGACAGTAGTGCAGAGGACACTAAAGCCAAGGTTCTGCTAAGTCCACTGCTAAGAACATCTGCAGCCAGAGAAAGTGACCAATCTTCGTCCAACTCTCCCAGAGCTGGGCCGAGCAGTGAATCAGGAGATGTTCAGGAGAGGAGCGCGGCTCAGCTAAAGGCTCGCCATCAGCGCCGACGCCTTCCCAACAAAGAGCTGAGCAAAGAGTTCAACCAGGAAATTCCAAAGACAGAAGACTGCCTGTCCAACCAGAACCACGGCTCAGTGAAGACGGAGGACGGGCCACCCAATCACAATCGACGACCACTGAAGAACGAGGACTCTGTGACCAATCAGAACCGTAAACCACTAAAAACAGAGGACTCGACCACTAATCAGAGCCGCAGGGCGCTCAAAATGGAGGAAGGTCTGGCCAATCAAAATAGAAGGCCGCTGAAAATGGAGGACAGCCTGGCCAATCAAAACCACAGGCCTGTAAAATCCGAGCCCGATAACGAAGTAGATGACCAAAAGCCGAGATGGCCTCTCAATAACGGCAGCAGCGACCTGGGTGACTGGCTGCGACACAGGGGGCGGGAGGCGAACGAGACGCAACGTGGTTACTCACCGCTCAGCTGGAACAGAAGCACGCAGATCACGTCAATATGTCCCCGTCCGCTCCCCTGCCGCTCGCCGCCAAAGTGTATCCAAATGGAGCGCCATGTGATCCGGCCCCCTCCCATCAGCCCCCCACCAGACAGACTGCCGCTGAGCGATGGCGAAGCACACGTGATGCGAAGAGAAATGTGGATGATGGTGTTCAGTCACCTGTCTCACAGAGATCTTTGTGTCTGCATGCGTGTCTGCAGGACCTGGAACAGATGGTGAGTACAAGTTGTACCGGGGAGTTGAAAAACATCACACAACTCCTTCATCATACAGCGGCTGTATGTAAATATCTGCTGCGTGTCTCACCAGGTGCTGCGACAAGAGACTTTGGAAGCACATCAATCTGAACCGCTGCAAGTCCATCACACCTCTCATGCTGAGCGGCATCATCCGGAGACAGCCAGCAGCTCTGGACCTCAGCTGGACCAACATCTCCAAGAAACAGCTCAGCTGGCTCATCAACAGGCTACCAGGTAAATATATTCAACCTCCCTGCAAAATGATTCTTATTATTTGGTTGAATGGTAAATGGATAGCAAACGGACTGTACTTAAACAGCTCCTTTCTAGTCTTCAGGCCATCCAAAGCGCTTTACAATACATGTCACATTCACCCATTTATGGCAGAGGCTGCCATGCAAAGTGCCAACTGATCATCAGAAACTGAATCTAATCCCCTTCACACACACATTCACACACACTTACACATCGATGGGACAGCTTCTGGAGCATGTTGGGGTTCAGTATCTTGCCCAAGGACACTTTGACATACAGAGGGAGGAGCCAGGAATTGAACCGCTAGCTTTCAGGTTAATAGACGACCTGCTCTACCTCCTGAGCCACAGCCTGCTATAAATTGTTTTATTGTTTTAAAATGTTCAGCTGTTATTCCTAGTGGTTATGGTGACAGTCACTCACCTTGACACAACCTCACAATGGTATCCATTTGCATGTTAACCATACATTTAGCCATAGTATGTGAGATAAAGGGACACATTAAACTTATCTAAACTTTGAGTAAATGTTTTAGTCAACATATTTGCCTCAGTATAGACTGCAACAGTGCATGTACTGAAGGAGAGTTGGATAATATTTCATGTATTGATAAAAAAAAAAGTGTGTTTACGTAGCATCCGTAGTTTTTAATAAGTTAAATAAGTTTGAATTCCTGTATGTTCTCATATGGCTCCTCCATCTGGTTAATTGTATCCCCGGGGGCTCATGATGGTTTACTTTAGCTGCTTTTCTTTGTTACTCATAAATGTCTTTGCTGGATCATTCAGCTAATTAGATAAGAATACTCACTGTTTCTGTGTTGGTTTATTCTGTGACCTCAGATTAACTAAAACTCTGGAGACGGAAAAACTGAAAAATAGGGCACATTTCCTCAACAGACCAAATGTGAGTGTGCAGTATATTTAGCCTGGCGTGTTGTTGCTTGTGGCCACGTAGAAGAGATTTTCTAAGATTTACAGATGATCCGTGTGTTGTAGCTTATTTTAAAACATGAGGTTCTTTATGTCCTTGCTGTCTCTGCAGGTCTGCGTGTGCTGCTGTTGTCAGGATGCTCCTGGGTGGCGGTCTCTGCTCTTTGCACATCCAGCTGTCCTCTTCTGCGGACTCTGGATGTTCAGTGGGTTGAGGGACTGAAAGACGCCCAGATGAGGGACCTGCTGTCGCCTCCTACAGATAACAGGCCAGGTACCAGCCTCTCACACACACCGATCTTGACAGTTTGAGTCTTTTGTGGCTGAATGAGTAGTGGAGTAATAGTAAATGAATGAGAGTTGTGGTTATTGTATTTATTACTTTCAATGCTTTGTGGTTCTACACTTAAATTGCAGTCAGATCTAAATGCTTTAAAGTAACTGGATTGTTCCACAATGGTAAGATCTAAATTCTGAGCTGTCAAGTCATCAGCTGAAAAGCACATAAACATAAAGAATGAGAAGAATTATATTTTATATCTCTTTATTGTCGATAAATCCCATGAAAAGACGAGTATTTTTATTACACAACCTCCCCAGTGGCGCTCATTCCCAAACCCAGTGCTTCCTGCCAAAGACATAAATATTTAAAAATGTTTCTCACATATGTAGTTTCATTTCTTTAAAAGGTTATGTTCCTAAAATAACTGGGCACTGTAGTTTTTAGCAAACGCTACTCAAGTAGGAGTAAATAGTGCATTTGTTTGGGACTATTTTCATCCATGGATTAATACGCAATTGGTCCTCAAGTGATTATTTTCAGCAGCAGGACGGTGTATGTGGGATTAACTCAAAATAAACTAGTGTCCATGTTTATCATAATGAAGGAACCCAGTCACCCAGTGCAGCGTTACTCATTATTTTAATAGTTTGTGAACATCAATGGAGGTCTATGTCACTGAGGAATAAGCTGTGTTAGGCTTTGGATACACAGATAATACTTAGAAGGATCATTTAATTGTTGGTTTAGGTCTTCTCATGAGATTTGTTGAACATAAGACAAATATAGAATATCACCAGATTTCCTTTTGGTTTTGTATATAGTGAAATAAACAACTACAAAATAGCACCTTTAGCATGATTTTGTCTCAAACATCTGGCTTCTCGCACAAGGCTAGTTAGTGTGGTCAGACATATTTACTAAATACGTTCCTGTCATTTTTGCTCCATACCTCCGTTAATCTCCTCTCCCCCCTCTTTTTTAGGTCAGTTAGACAACAGGAGTAAGCTGCGTAATGTGGAGGACCTGCGCCTGGCGGGCTTGGACATCACAGACACGTCTCTGCGTCTCATCATACGTTACATGCCCTCGTTGTCCAAGCTGGACCTCAGCTACTGCAACCACGTCACCGACCAGTCCGTCAACATCCTCACTGCTGCCGGGACGACCACCAGAGACTCGCTCACTGACATCAACCTGTCAGGTAGGAGCCTGTCTTTGTTGGCTGTAAGTCTGCCTGCATTTGACTTGCTCCCCCTAATGGCTAAATTTTGAATTTATTATATGTATTAAACTGTCATGTCTGTCCATATCTGAATTTAATCAATAGATGTAAGTAAGATATTTGTCATTGGGTATTTTTTTGCACATTTAACCACAAAGTACGTGCTTAGTTGTACATTCTTCCAGACGGTGAGTGCTTTTAGTTGTTTTTGAATGTTGTTTAGTCATATCATTGCCAAATTTGCCAAAAGGAAATTTTTTAAAAACTTAAACTGTAACCAAAGTTTGTCTGGAAGGTACCATAGTGTAAGAAATTAATCTAAAAGTAAAACTAATGCAGCCTAATACAACAATCCTGTATAAACAAGGCTTTTAATGTTCAGTTTTTGTTTAAACTCTTTGAAAGAAGCTGTAGTTTGTGGTGCTGTTTCTTGTTCTATTACAGGCATGACATTTAAAATCAATTTTTATAGAATTTAATAATTTCATGCCATTCATTGCAAAGTGCACCAATGCTATATTCATTTTATACTTGTTATCTCTCCGGAATACCTTTAAAAGTTAGAAGCAGTGAATCAATGAGTCATTATGGTAAAACAGCTGACAGTAAAATGTATTTTTACTTTCTGTTGGAGTCTCCACATTTATCACGAAAACAGTACTCACCACAATGAGGCCTTTTGGATTTCATGTCCTAGAGTATCCTAAAGCGTGGATTAATCCACGTGTGTCATAGCTTATGTCAGTACAGGTGACCCATTACGCATCATTTGTTCTTTTTCTTCTAACGCTTTTTCTCCCTGCAGTCTGTAACAGGGTCACGGACCAGTCGCTGACCTATTTCAAGCGCTGTGGGAGCATATGTCACATCGACCTGCGATACTGCAAACAGGTGACCAAGGAAGGATGTGACCAGTTCATTGCAGAGATGTCCGTCAGCGTGCAGTTTGAACTCATCGAAGAGAAACTGCTGCAAAAGATCAGTTAAGGCAGAGGAACGTGGGAACATACACAAGTGGTAAAACTACTGTCCACATGGAGGCAGCAGACGACTGTGTGCTTGTGGAGGACGGCCGCTGTGTTTCATGAACATCTGCGGGTGACTAAACCGACACGAGGGCGGCGCCTGTTTATCTTTAAAACTGATGTAAAGGGAAGCTGCGCTGCTAAAGCCAGAATGTAAAAATGGAAATCTTGTCCCGTGAAGGCAATATTGCAAAAATGTTTTTGTTGTTGTTTGCACCTGTTTATAAGTTATTTATTTCTTTATATTGATTGTTTGTGTATTGTATCATGATTATCTTTTGGTGTTTATAGATTATTTTTTGTTCCAATGCAAAGTTTATTGCATTATAGAGTAATATTTTTGTATCAGAAAGTGTTTCATACATTTATGTGCAGTATTGATTGCACCACTGTACGGTATCATACCATTGAAATTGATAATCAATCGGCATTACTGTTAAGCTCTTTATTGTTGAGAGGCAAGGTCCAATGATTTGTTGCCAAACTGTAGAAAGGTAGCTTGTGTTTATGTGGCTGTTTTTTATATTTTATTATTTGTGTCAGTGCCCAGTTTCTGATCAGAGAGAAGGTACTGTACATTTTGTTTTCCATATAACAATATCATGTCCCTTTGGATGAGACATATAGAGGGAAAGTTTAAAGTTATTTGCACTGATACAGTAAATATGAATACATGAATGTATTCACACATACACTATACAGTTGTACAGTGTATAAAGCATATTTTTTTCAACACTAAAATGTTCTGCTAATTCTACTAACAGCTTCTAGTTCGGTGGGTTGTATTAAGACCTGCATACACACGTCTCCATCACTCTTTAGTATTATTGGTGCTTTGTGAAAAAAAGCGTTTTAGCTCTGCATGCAGCAAAGAAATATGTTTACACCACAGTCAATAGATTTAGTAACTGTTGAACAATATAACCATCCGTCATTAGTTACACTCCATACGATTAAAAAAAAAAAAAAAAAAGTGACTCAGTGCTGAATCATGTAAGAAATAAAGAATCAACAAAGTCCAGGCGTAGGATCTTAAATTTGCATATATCTTTTAGACAGTTTTCTCCCATATGACAGAAGTGACATGTGTAACTCAGGTTTAATCAGTCAAGAGGCTGAAAGAAAAAGGACTTTCTCTATTTTCACCCATGACCCTGTTTATACTGTATATTTCTAAATTGTCATGGCCCCAAAACATTTGAGTATAGCAGTGATTGTGTTCTGTTTCTGTTTTGTTTAAAATCTGTCCAGTAAATCCATGTCAGTCTCCAGACATGAGCTTCTGACCATAAGGTTGAGACCAGATACACTAAATGCAGTGATTTCTAATACAGCATGAGATAGGATCATAGTATAGATCATACTATATGTACATGTCATTCAGCCTGTCCAATTTGAAGAAGCTGCAAACAGACATATTTCCTGAAAGATTTGTGCAAATATAAAAGTGAAAAATTGGATTTTGTTCTTTTTTTTTTCTCAGATTCCACTGAAATAGACATTTATTAACACTGGTTGTTTTATTTTTCATGAGTTTAAACATCAAGATAAAGTACATTACAACCATTTTTATGTACGTATTCTTTGGCATTTATTCATAGTCATATTTAAAGTTATATAAAAATCTGCATATTTTGCTATTGGAGCTTTCAGGCTCAACAGTTTAACGGTTTGATAGGTTTCCGTTTTTTCTTGAAAACTAAACTTTTTTAGAAATAAAGTCTTTAAAGGTTTTTTGTGTAACTTTTGAATAGATACGGTTCAGTGGATGGGTTTACATTTAATTTTGTTTTTGTTTTTTATTAAACAACCATGTCTCCATGAAATATTTTAGTACATCACTGTAAATGTTCAATCTGTACATAATGTACATGTAAAGCTTCTAGGAAAAGTTAAGTCAACCTTTGAGATATTAAATTCATTTTAAATACAGAGCTGGGTGTGCATTTGGTCCATTGCTTTTTTTTTTTTTTTTTTTTTTTTACAGCATTTTAAGTATAAATAAGAAACATGATTATGTTCATACAGAAATATTTCTGTTATTAGTTTTGTATTATTATTTATTAATGATTTACTGTATGCCAATCACTAAGTTGGCTGTAAGCGACAGATGACCGATTACAAAATGAAAAGCAGGGTTTTACTTTCTGGTTTGTAGTACTGCATTTTATTGAATCTAATAAATCATTTTCTCTTGTTTACCAAAATAAAAAGGTTCAACATTCCCAAAATATAAAGATCCAGGATTATGAGTGCTCATGATAACCTCCTGCTCTGATACTGTAGCTGCCCATGAATGACATCTTTGAGAAACAGCAGCATCAACAAACAGACTTACAGAGTTACAGTGTTTGTTACAGTGCATGGTGTCAGTGTCGGTTTTTTGGATCTGAAGCAGACGGCGACAAAAAGTGCTAGAAAGCGAGACCATGACTGACGCAACTTTAATGGTGAGAGAGTGACACAATCAGAGGACTGAGGAACTCGTCTGACCAAAACCAACAGAAATACATTCTGAAAAACTGTATATTTTTATTTTTAAACCTCCGTAATAAGTAGAATTTTAAATCATGTCGTCTCCCAAGTAAAATGGAAAAATATACATTTAATGACTCAGTAAACAACAATATAAGCTATCTATGCGATTAACTTCATTAACAGCAATTCAGCTTCTTTTTTTAAAACATACCACAGGCATACTGTACACAGATAGTTTAGTGACATCTGGATCTCATGACAAGAAAAACAAAGTGTTTCATTTGCATAACAGGTTAAAGTAAACCAGGCTTCCTCTACCTCTCACTGTGTGATGGATATTTGGAAGGACGCCTCGACAACATGACAAAAAGGTATGTTGATGTTACAGAAAAGAGGAAGTAGCACCTGTTACCTACCTAAGATTCGACACATTAACGGACAACACAGTCAAAGAAAGACACTTGGTAGACTTGGAAACTAAATGGTATTGCTTGGTGGAAGTTATTTTAAATCAAATAGAAAGATAAAGTAGTACAAAAAAAAAAAAACCTCAAAGTCCACTTATTAGTTTTCTCTGGGGCTTTCAGCTGCATCCAGTGGTCTTCCTCGGGAGAAGGATGAGGCCATTCACATTCACATATATGTATATTCATATACATAGTCACCAAAGGTCAAGTGATGTAAGTTGACCCATCTCCACGAAAACTGAGCATCTGCTGATGAAGCCTCTAAAATGTGGTTGAAATCCCCTGGGAAAAAAATGTAGTAAGTGGGCCTTGAGTTAATTTTTTCTCCTTTTTTTGTGTCAAACTGCTGTTTCAAAAGGTGATGAAATCTGCTTTCACACTCAACAGATGTAACAGGAATGTAGTGCAGCACGCGGTGCGACCACGCAGCAGTGTACTGTTCGTGTCTTCAGCAGGAATCACTTCATTTTAGATGAGAAAATCACATCCTTCACACAAGTGAGTGTTCAAATGTTTACTTAATTTCCTAAAGTTCATTTGGGAAAACTGAAGAAAAAAAAAAATATATATATATATATATAGTAAACTATCACACCAAGCTTGCTGGTTATGAGATGCATATACTGTGAAATCTTAACCAAATATCGATTGAAGGCATGAAGTTTGGCACCTTACACCCTCCTGTGTGTGAGACGACTCGGTGCACGTGGTGATCAGATTAACTAATAAACATTTTCTAGAAACACATGTAAGTCTCTTTTTTTTTTGATATTGCACATCCTAAAGAACACTGAGGGAGATAACACTGTGTCATGTGGCATGACTGTGTAAACCATATTGACTCTAAACCCTGGGATCTTATATTTTTCATCCGACTGCTTCTCTCCCCCACACAGAACAACCCTATCCACTTCAAGTATCCGCGGGACCGCCTCCACTCCTCTCCTGTGAGTAAAATCTAAACAGAGAACAAGAGAGTAGAAAGTGATGGCAGGGGGCTCTGCTTTGTGTTTAATAGACCAAACAGAGAAAGAGTGAGTGTCCCAGTGCAGCTGATGATGGTCCACCAGGGAGGAGAAGTGGGACTGGAACATGAGTTAGTAAAGGAGGGCGAGAGGATGGGGTGGGGACAAACCGTGGTAGGCAAGAGGCAACAGTCTGGTTCCAAAGACCGGGGAAGTTGCTCGCGCCTGCTGCAGCATTAGGCCCTGCGAGACGTCATGCACAGCAGTTCATCCTCAGTGATAACTTCAGGGCTCGGGGCAACGTGAACGCCTGAGGGCCGCTCTGACGCGCACGCACAGAGTTTTTAAGACTTGAAGACGTGCACGGCCCGCACTACGTACTGCCTGCAGATGGGGCACTCGCTCATCCTCTTCCCGCATTTGGTGCAGGTTACCATGTGACCACATTCCAGTAGCACACAGTCGATGATGGCATCCATGCAGATGCGACACAAGTTTTCATCGGCCGCCAGCTGAGCTTTGACACCATCTGCGGAGGGAAATACGAACCGTTATCTTTCAGTTAAAATGGTTCTCTGCAGGCTCATTAAACTGTATGGAGCTCAGTGACGTTGTACAGATGCTGCTACTGCAGTCTGAGAGTAATAAACACAACCACATCAGTCACCGCTGTTCAGCCATTATCAGTAGATCCTCTCCTTCCCAGGTTTTTTATCGGTTAATAAAAAGCTCCCATTCCCAAACCTGATAAATTCCACACCTGTTGTGTAAAACCGCTTTGCTAAATGTTCAGTTTAGTTGCACAACTTGCACATGTGAGATGGGAACAGTTGGGTGTCACTTTTAAAAGTGATCAGTTAGTGGTAACACCACTGAGTTCAAAACTGGCTAATCTGAACAATTTAAACCATATGATCCACATGATTCCCTTTCATTCAGTGGAAATATTAACGGCACAAACCAATAACGGGTGTAAAACATCCACTAGATGGGAAAAACTATATTTGGCAGTGGGATGGCGATGGGCTCCCTTGTCTTTTTGTTTTAATGACTGAATTTTAATTATTTATTTATTTTAAAGATTAGAGTAATTAGAGGAGGAAACTATATTTTCAAAAACAATAATTGTAATAAAAAATAAAGACATTTGTCCTCCCCTGAGGTGGGAAAAAAAAGAAAAACATTTACAACTATGTTAAATGTTCATAATAAGCGATCTCTCACTGTTATTGTAATTAGTTGCTACCAAATAAACAACATAAACCCGTCACTGAAGTAAATGATGCCAGTGCACTGCTTTACAGGAGTTAAATGCCTGATTGCTGACTGATGGCTCACTGGCCTAATTCTGGCTCCTGCTGCTCACATCTTGTGCGAAGGGGAAACAACCGATCCATCTGCAGCCTGTCTGCCGTCCCTTCACGTCTGACTATTAAGTGGGCTAATATGATCCTCAAGCCCTTTATGTCAACAAGAGAGCCTCTAGGAAGCTTGACAATGTAATTACACCTGATGGAGACATGCTGCCACTGAGGTAATGTGATGGCTCATCAAGAGGTAAAAGCTCTTAGAGAGTGCATTAATGAGAGGATGAGAGGCTGTCCTTCAGAATAAAACGAGATGATGCACAGTGGAAAAGAAACAGGAGTGACAGAATACGGAGACACTGAATCAGGCAGGAGATGATGACTCAATTGACCATAATGTAATAATATGTAGGATGATATAAAGGATCAAGTGGGTAAAAATGCTCCAGCATGCCTTTACTCTTTACTGCCATCACATGATCAGTGCAATGTAAATGACGAGTTCATGGATTAGATGGAAAGGGAGCCGTGAAGGGGCTTTTTATACAAACATCTTACCTCCAACTCCACTGTTGCAGAGAGGTGGAGGATATGCAACCACTTGTATAGATAAGAATGGGCAGTAATAAAGAAAATCTATTAGTTAAACAGTGAATTTACCCTAAAAACAATGTTGAAGTAGCATTTAAATCAAACAGGGGGAAGCAAACTGCATTTAGACTTAATATGTCATGTTCATACCAAAAGGCAATGTCATATTTTAAACCTAGGAAATATGATAATCAAAAAATATTTACCTGCAGTTATGCTCACATTTTCCACTAAAAGAAAAGGAGAAAAAAAGGGTGTATTTTATCATGCAGAACATCAAAAATTAAAATGTAGATGCAAAACCAAAGAAAGGTTCAATCAAAAGCTCTTACTGGATTTCCTGTTCTGCTGATTCTCTCTGTAGAGCCGATGCACTCGCTCCAGCAGCTCCCACTTCTCGCAGCAGCCAGAGTAATTGACAAAGTTCCTGGCAAGAATCTCTTTCAGCTGGCGGACTGAGAGGTTTTCTATCGCCTCTTCATTGTCCAGATCAGACAGCGAGGCCCTGATCCTCCTCTGTGTCGCCGGACTGACCTACAATCCACAGGGGACACAGTGCTGTCACTAACATGGTCTTCATTCCCTGAAAGCCTTCTCAGTCCACAATAATTATAGTTTTTTCTGGTATAAACACTATTAATTACTTTACATGTGCAAACAAAACAAGTGTTTTACCTCTAAGATATTTTCAGTGGGCTCCAGGTTCAAGAGAGACGCTGTTGGCGTGTCCTCATGCTCCTGTTTAAGTAGAAATCAACACACAGAAGTTCATTAAATAAGTTAAATTCACAGCATTTCACTCACTGAGCAGCCTATTGAAACAAATTGCGTCTTACTGTTCAGTCACCAAATATCAAATTACTCTACTTAAAGTCAAATGATGAGTAGAAATATGACGTTAAAATTCCCTGCCTACCTAAAAATATCTTTCTCTTCTTGTTCCTACAGTCAGATGTTTGAGCTCCACTGTGCAGAGTTTGACACTAGAAGGATGTTTTCGTATCTAAGGGGCAGGGCCTGTGAGCATGATTTGTGATCAGTGAATCTAATCCAATGAAAGAACAGAGATGTTTAAACAGTGACTCGGCTGCTCTTAACTCAGCGGTTAATTATTCTCTTTGAAGGTGGAGGTCAGGAATTTGCCGGATGAAAGGATAATAAATGGAGCTAGAGAATAGTGCAGACGCTGTTTGGTATGAGTGTATAGCTCTGTATTATTTGAGCCATTTATGTGCTTTGAAGGGAAGATATCGTCTCTTTATTCTTTTATCATCTCGACCAAAGGGAGCATGTGAAGGGCTGAAATAAGATCGAACTGTGTGAGACCATGCTGTCTCCGTAAAAAGTAAAAACCCTTGCTGTATTTTCTCCCTGCTTCAGCAAATTCCAGCAGACCACCATCTTCCTCGAATGAAGACGTGTTAATAATGCATCCATCAGCGTCGTGGTGCTAGATGCCTGCTCTCCATCCTCAGAGACAATAAACAGGAGCAACAGCACCGACACACGCTCACAGTGCCAAACCTCTCTGGAGCACAAAGTTTCTTTGACTGGATGTTAGATCTAGATGTGAAAGCACTAGAAAGCACTCAGAGAGCTGTACAAGCTCCTGAATGTGTTATTTAAATCATAGAAATAGTTAAGAAATGTTTAATCTGCATTCAAAATATAAACAGTGATAAGCAATCATGGGTTTCTTGTGGTCATGACAAAATACAAAAAAATTCTGACGAAGAAAGACTAATCTTTTGTTAATTTGACTTTATACCAAATATCATTGTAATCTTTTGCCACTTTTTTTGAGAAATCTTGCTGACAAAAACCAACAGACCATAACCTGGTGTCTTTAGTATTCGTTACCTGAATAGATCTAAAAATGTTTTACAAATATGAGGTTTTTATACATTACAGTATACTGAGAAAAATGTCTCAACTCGCTGGATTTTGCATTAAATGGTTTTATACACTGCAAAATGGAAGTTCAATAAAGTCATAATATCCTCTTGATGATTATATGTTATTTTCCAATAATTTTGTCAATCATCTTTTCCATATTAAAAAATTAAATATTAAACCAAAATTAGTCCCAATTATTTAAGAAAACTGGTTAAAAGTAGTCTTCACTGCAGAGATTATCAAAGTAAGGTAAGTAAGCAGGATAATCTTAAACTTATATTAATACTTCAGATTGTTAATCTGTATTTCTGCTCTAATTTTGACAGATTTTTCAGTTTTAATAAACCCTACAAATGTCTCAGATGACACAATATTTTGCATGTTTGTGAAAGTTTTTCAGTGAGAGGACAGATGTACTGTAGTCTTTCTGTGGTTTGGTTGCAGCTGTGACGCTGTGGGGAGTTCTCAACCTGTGTACCTGTTACATAACAGACTCAGACTATGTAACCGACCTAAAAAAAGGCAAAGGGCTTAAGCTGCGTTGCTGGCTGGTCCGAGGGCTTTGCACACACACAGCTAACACAGCTGTTTCCAGCTGTCACGTGCACATTGCTGAACACTGGACCAGCGCTGCAAAAATAAGCTCTTCCGATATCAATGGAGAGGACTGCACAAAGGAAAGCGTGAAATACAATGAATGAATAACCGACATCTAAAGATATGCACGAGAGGGAGTTTGTTTGTCAGGGAGTTGAAAGGAAGAAGTTTTCTCCTGACTTAGAACAGTCACACTGACTTGTAAATAAGCTGATTTCACCTTTGAAATTAATTATCTTGGATAGAATGAGGACAGATGTGAAAGAAGTATGGCGTATGTAAATGAGTGAACGTATGTTTGTGGCTGCACAGTGCACATTGTTAGCTCTGCATGCTGACACACACACACACACACACACACACACACACACACACACACACACACACACACACACACACGCCGAACATCAGCTGTGTGTTTTCTTGTGTGCGCACAAACCTGGCTGGTCCCTGAGCTGTCACTTGGGCTGAGCACGTCTCCGTGAGAGGCAGACAGGACCGACTGTTCAGAGGTGGAGCGCGTGGCGGAGGGGGGTGAGGCGGCTCGTGAGTGGGGTAGCGAGTGCAGACTGTCTGTGTCATCTCCTCCTCCTTCTTCTTCTTCTTCCTCCTCCTCCTCCTCATCCTCCTCCTCCTCATGTATGTCCTCTTCATCCTCCGCCTCCTCTTCCTCTTCTTCTTCTTCTTCTTCATCATCATCTTCCTCCTCGTCCTCTTCCACCACTGGTCTCTGGGTTTCCCTCGTCCCCTGATGGCAGAGCACCAGGTCCACCAGGTCCTCTTTCTCCCTGCATGTGTCGGTGGGGATGTTGCGCAGCAGCAGGTACTGGCGCAGGTCTTTTACTCGGAGCTGCATGAGCCGAGGCCTCTGGAAGGCCGTGCCACGCAGCAGGTGGCAGGTCATGCAGCAGCGCAGGTTCTCTTGAAGCACTGAGCACAAGGCGCAGAAACTCTTCTTACAATCACAGCAGATGTGCTGTCGGAGGGAGAAGAGATTCAAAGACGTGATTAGCTGTTCTTTTTCTTGTGACAGAAGAAACCAAACATCGTTTACAAAACTCTATTTTTCATCATTTCTAAATAGGGCCTGATGTCTGTGAGCATATTTAACTATTTATCCTCCATTTCACTTTTGATAAATAAATTAACCATCCACTGAAATGGATGTCACAGATTTGAGCTCTGAAAAATGGTCCAAATGATGGAAGTGAAGTCACTGAAGCTGCTGTTTGTAGTATTGATAGTAACGTTGTTTTCATTTGCACCAGAATAATCCATCAACACATGAGGGCTGGGCGATAATTCATTTGAATTTATTAACTTTCAGTGGGATCACATTATGATAACATGACTATTTTCATTTTCATAAAATGTTGTTAATTTTAAGATTAATTAATTTAATTTTAGCAAACTGTGATTTAAAACCAACTATATGAATTACTGAGGGGTTGGTTTTATCTGATATAATGAATTATTACACAGTACATTGTTTACATTGTACTGTGATTTTACATTCTTTGGCTGTAGGGTGACAGATGTGGATATTAGCGCTGAAATGATAAGTTGAATAATAAATTAGCCAAGTAAGTTAAGTCTTTAAATGATTTATGATGCAAAAATGCCTAACATTTGCACACTCCAGCTTCTCAAATGTGAGGATTGATTGGGAAAAATAATATAATAAAATAATACCATATTCATATCATGATACAGATTTCAACCAACAGACTTGGAGTTAACTGTCTTTGAGTGTATCCCTGTGACAAAGAGAAACCTTATTAACCAGTAACACACAGTTCCACCTGAAACAGTGGCTGTGTGCTCTTTTTCTTTTCTGGGAAAGAGTAAAGAAAAGAGAAATAAACTATCTGCAGCTCCTGGTGATGTTTGACATTTTACTGGCTGCACACTGTCTCCTGATACAGAGTATCTGAGAAGACTGACACTTCAAATGTGCAGGAAAACAGGTCGGCCATGGCTGTAAACATTTGCTTATCGCTTATGCACAAATGTGCTCTGGTCCACCAGAAGCACATTTGCACTGCAACAGATACTCTTCCATCATTTGGTGTTAATCCCCCAGCGCGTCATTCCTTCATACCATGAAAATATCATGCTGACACACAAATGTGTGCGTCCAGGGAGTAAGAAAGGCAACTGTTGTGTGTAGATGACGATAGAGCGATCTGAAGCAGCGAGCAGAGAGGAGGTTGGGAACTGCAGCGTTTTCATCAGTGTCTCAGTGCGTCTGACTGCCAGACAGATACACTCTGCCATTAAACTCTGACATGTTCAGCTGTGCACGGACCCTGGAAATGCCAACATGAATACGTATGGCGCATGTTCTTAAAGGGCCATGCCAGTGATTTTGCAGTGGAGTCTAATTTATAAGGCTGCTGACCATTATAAAAAGTATTTAGGCCAACTTATAACCTCAAGCAGTGGTGGAAGAAGTATAGATGCTTTACATAATGGACCAGTGTGGAGGATTCAGTGGGATCTAACTAAAATAACTGCTCGCCTTACAAGTGTGTAGAAGAAATCACGGTGGCCACAGAAAAATGAGAGCCAGTGTTTGTCTGTTCTGGGCTACTGTAGAAATATGGCAGTTCAACATGGCGGCCTCCGTGGAAGAGGAAAACACTTTTTATTTTCAGGTGATTATACACTAATGAAAACATACCTAGGAATGTTACATTGTATTTCTGCCAATAGATCCTCCTAAATGTTACACACTGGACCTTTGAAGGAAAACCTTGTTTTATGTGAATGTCCAATCAGTATTGATAGTAAATATAGTCAATTGAAGCAATAAATTCCTCAGTGCATGCTATACTGACAGAGAAAACTGAGTTCTCCTTCTTGTAGAGTGCCAGGAAAAGGGGGGAGAGAGAGTGAGGACAACATGCAGCAAAGTCGAACCCATGGCCTCTGTAGCAAGGACTTAGCTCTGGTGCATGGGGAGCCACCAGGGCGCCCCACAAGCTAAATTAGCTGCTGAGTACTAATCAAAGTTACGTTGCCAAGCAAATGATTTCCTGCAGTTTGACCATTTATTTTTCACACGTAGCTCTATTGATACCTTCAAGGTCCAAGCTGAAATAGCCTGTAGTTCTTCCTTGATGCCTACGTCACTGTAAGTGCCGGAAAAAGAACAGAATTTGCAGATATTTCTCTGTCAATGTAACACGCACTGTGGAATTTATTGCTTCAGTTCATCCACATTAAATATGGTAAATTTTCCCTTTAAATAAAAGTAGCAACACAAGACTGTAAAAATACTCCAGAACATATATATCCTTTCTTCAAAATCCTGCTTAAATGAAAGTACAAAAGTATTATCAACAAAATGTACTTGCAATGTACAACAAAATGCTTATGATTAAATAAATTACTAAAAAACTAAATGATTTATAAGATATAATAATTAATATTATTTTGGAGGTTTTTCTCATTAAAATAGTTTCTGTTCAGCAAGTAACTCAGTAATTATGGATGTCAGTGTTTCCTTGAATGCACCACAGAGTCCCTGCTCGCAACTGCACGCAATGATTACATAATTCAGATATATATATATATAAAAAAAAGCTGACTAAATGTTGACTGTGAAGGATTACTCAGGCAAGTCTCCAGTCTCTGCAAAATCATTTTTTACAGTCATGAAGTTAAATCAAGCCGCTGGTAGTCAGTCGTGAAATGTAGAGTGAATAAGATTTGTATTCAATGGGCTAAAACATACAAAATCCACTGATATAGTCTTTTAAGATAACTTCCAAATTCAGATACATCTCTCTTATTGTCTCTAACCACCATCGCATATTCCTGTATGAACCAGCTTCCATCATCTTGTACCAAACTCATCACTGTCACTGCCAAAACCCTTGTTCACCTTGCGTCTGAAGACAGAGAAGGCCAGTCCGCAGGCCTTGCACAGCTGTCCAGCACTCCCTGAGCTGGTGGGGGGGTAGGTGGAGTACCCAGCACTGGGGGCAAAGCGGAAGGGCCCCGCCCCTGCCCCGAACCCCGGCTGCTGTGCCCGCACCGTGCCCGTGCCCATCACCTCGTTCAGCAGCCCACAGCATGACGCCCACATGGACGATGCCCCTGCCTACGGAGGACACACACAGAAACACACACAGGAAACTTTTAGAGACGTCAAGTTTATTAAAACGTCTCGCTGGCATCCTCAGTGACAGACTGGTAAATATCTTCTTTATGAATATAAAACAATGTCCCCAAGATTCTTATGGCTGCCCTTTTCCTTTTAATTAAAATACTGTAGATGTCTTTTGCATAACTATTTTTACATATTTCCCCAAATTCATATTTGCTATCATTGGAAACTTTGGAATCTCCACTAGAATTTGAAATAAAGTAATAAATAAGTGAACAAAGAGTTTGAACATAGTTTAAATGACAAAATACATTTAAACTCATCCTGTGGTGTTTAAGAGGCTAAAAGATTCTTCTTTTGTCCTAGTATAAAACATCTGTGAAATGTGTGTTTATGCTGCCATTCAGTAATTTATCAGAAATACTTTATATAAGTGTACTTTGATATAGTTGATATAGTTATTATGTCAAATCAATCATGCAAAATAAGCTGGAATTAAAAACATACATTTAGTAACTGGAGATTTTATTTACACGTGTCAAGATTTTTGCCTTACAGTTCACTGAAAGCTGATCTCTTAGATTATTTCATATATTTTAAGTACATTTGAAGTATTTTGATATGCAGATGGGAGACAAACTGCGTCTTAGAACAGTTTCAGTGCTGCTTAGAAGTTATTACTGGAGGGATAAACACTATTCTTTCAAAAGGTTGTCCCCCATTTAATGTTGTTATGATGCTGATTGGTGAGTCTATCTAACACTTCCAAAACCCCCTAGAAGTGTTCAATTCGGTTAAGATCTGGTGACCGTAAATACCAACCATAATTTTCTCTCTGATCACACCAGTCAGTCAATTGGTCACCCGTCTGTACATCAACAAACTATTAGACAATGTTCTTATTAATATCACAATACTGATTTGAACCATATCACACAGTCCTTTGCTCAGTAATGCCACAAATAGCTTAAGGAGACAGTCTTCTTTGAGAAACAAGAAGGAAAATGAATGAGAGAGAGAGAGAGAAAGAGAGACACAGAGAGAGACAGAGAGAGAGAGGAGGAGACACTGGGCAGCACATTATTGAGAGTGCTCTGTCGTCTTTGAGGTTAGAGATAATTAGATAGAAGTACACTCTAAAAGCTCCTATTAATGACAATCTCCACAGACAGCTGCAGGTTAAATTTCTCACTTGCTGCATTATTTTGTACAATTTCATAAACAAACGAGGCCCGTGGAAAGCAGAGGATGTGAAGGGGCCACACAACAAATATCGCACGAGGGTCAAATGGGACCAGGTGGATGCTATGTTGCCTCTGTGGGTCCTGAGGAAATGTGCAAACCTAAACTGTACTCAGCCTGTTAAAGTTAAAGTGAACATCCACACAAGAGGCAGGCGGATGTGTTTGCTGACCACAAGACGGGCCAGAGACAGGGAGCAAAGATGGCGTGATGGGAGCCACGGCTCCTTGGAGCATACTGATGAGGAGAGGAGGGAGGGGGGAGGACAGCGAGGAGAGAATATGTCTTCTGTTGTTCCCCAGCCTGCAGAATCAATAGCTGACATGAGCATAATGTAAGCCCTCTTTGCTTCCCGGCTCTATGCGGAAAACAATGGAATTCACAGGGTCCCGCCACATCTCTCCTTAAGGCGGCTCTCTACTCCAGCTTGTCACAAACACCCTGTGATCTGACCTCACCCATCTGCTTAGGGATTCGTTATGTAATCTGAGGAACAAGGCACTATATGTGGAGTCACGGCGAGAGGGAGGAAAGGTCTGCTCCTGCTGCACTGAGACGATCAGGATGGATTTTTAAAGGTTAAACATAATCATTAAACTGGAAATGTTTGGATGGTATGTTTGATGGATGATCACCATTACACCCACAGCCCATGGTGCCATCTTTATATATCTTGTTTTGTCCGGCCAACAGTCCAAAACCCCAAATATGCAATTTAGAGTGATATCAAAAGACAGAAAATCAGCAAATCCTCAAATTTGAGAAGCTTGGCATTATTCCTACGTTTAATCAATGTATTTCCTGTAAACTGACGTGTTTCAACACTAATATTTTGTGTATTTTTTGTGATATGTTATTTTATCCCTCCATTAAATCCACCACAAACAGTTCACTTCATCATGATATACTCCTCTGGTTTTATATGCACAATAAAACCACAATGCATAACAACTTGAATTATTCGCCTCTGGCATAAACTTGACCTGATGTTCAGCTGCTAAAAAGTCTCCCAGGTTAGATGCAGCTTCTCTCACATGGGAGTGAAGCCACTAAAAGGAATATTTACTGCATTCTCCAGGATGAGGAGACGCCGCAGTCTGGCCATGAAATCAGTCTTATCTGGCTTTGAGCCAGCAGCACGAGTTCCCTCTGTCACTTCAATTAGCACACTGTAAGCTCTGCAGGCAGGGAGTCCCGAACAAACAAGTGACAAGAGCAAACAACGCACGTAGTGCATTGTTTTCACTTGTACATTTGTATTTCCTCCACAGCTTCATCACTTAAGTTATACCTCTGGGTATACTATATTGCAATAATGTATTTTCGTCACTGCAGTCGCCTTTGGACACTTTGAGCATCATGTCTGGACCAAATAATTGAGATATTTCTCACACTGGTGCTGGATCTTCAACATCGAATAGAGTCAGCAAACAATCCAGCTCCAGTGTGCACACAAACAAACACTGGGGAGGGGGAGAGCAGCAGAAAAGTAACTGAGGCACAGATTTAAATAGAAAAACCCAAAAGGGAGGAAAAGAAATCAGCAATGTACAGGCCTGGTGTGGACTGACAGCTATTTGACCTCATAAAATCTGACTGTGAGGATCAAATATGAATAACTAAAAAAGAAAACAACCCTTGTGTAACCATTTGGGAGCCTATATGGAGCGTAAATGGGTCATGTGTAGACTGGAGTGTTTAACAACTCCTTACCTTCCTTCGAACAACATCCAGTGACTTCTCAGAGTTCTGCTGCTGAAACGACAATCATAAGCACATCCCGAGAAAATCGGTCACCATAAAGAGTACGACACAACTGGTGAAAACAGCGGTATCTGGTATTTTGTGGCTCTGGAAGAGTCTGAAAAATAACCAGATGATGTCGTTATGGTTATTTTGGCTGAAAGAAAGCCTTCATTACAAACTGGAGACAGTAGGCATTTAGGATGTTGGATGAAAGACACTATTTAGTTGCATTATGGGAAATGTAGGATCCATTTTTCCCCCCATACTAGGGAGTCAGTGTAACTTCTGCTGCTTTGATTTTTATCGTTCTTTTTCAGATCTGTGTTTCTCTTGTCTCCCAACTTGATGGAAGTTCAGTACTACATTTCTGGAGTACCCCTTTAAGCATAAGTCTATACCGGGAGTGGATGATATGGACATAATCTCTATCAGGGTGAATGTAATTTCATGTCATGATAGGGATACACAGTATATTGTGACACAATATTTTTTAAGGAAATGTAATTGAGAAGCAGTTTATAGATATAGATCCAGTGAATTTAGTAGTAGTAAATCTGGTATTGCCATAAAGCAGTCCTCCTCCTCGTTGATTTGTGACACTGTCCTCTATGTTCGATTACAGAAAAAGTGATATATGTATGAACAGTGTAACAAAATGTCTGATCATCTCATGCTATACATCGCCATATTGCCCATCCCTACTCTATGCATTTGTAAGCATGTTATAGTCAGCAATATACAAACAGTAATATGAAGGGTTTTCAGTGTAAACAACTGTGCACTTTCATGGATTCTATAGTCATCATTCACTATCTTTCCATCATCCACTGTCTCTCTCTCACATTTAATTTCCTCTTTCTCTCTGCTGAATCTTTCCCCTTTTTTATTCTCTGGCATCAACTGGAAATGTCACTCATACTGTGAGAAGTGAATTCAGCTGCCTCACTGCTGAGACCAGGGAGCAATGTTGCCGCTGAAAATAAAACTAATTCATTACTGTTGTGCAAAAATGCTAAACGTAAATATTCCATCTAAAGTAGCCAATATAGATGTGAACGATTCAGTGATGTCTGCCGGAGCCCGCAGATGTCAGATGTCAAATGCGTCTGAAGAAATATGAACATGAAACTCAAGCTGCTATGTTTGGATTTGTGGATTTACACAGTCCAAAGTCAGAGGAAGACTGGAGGAGGATTTAGCCTGAGGAATACTTTTGGTGCAGCAATATAAAGAGATACAGAGCCCTGCTGTGACTGTCCTGCAATATCAAAACATGGCTGGACTGTTTTAAAACCATCACCACAAATCTGCTGTGGCCCCTGGAGTCTATTTATAGCTTCAGACTTCATCTACTTTAGGTCTCGCCCTAAGTAAGTTTAGTCTCATCTGGAATAATCAAGATCTCCTACATCACTGCTACATCTTATAATTTCATCAGAGATTTGAGAGCATTTGCGTCCACGATGTACAGTTTATGTTGGGGAAAAGAAATGGTAGATTTTGGAGGATTTTGAATGAAAATTATATATAAAAATAAAAATGTCATAGACCAAGTTATACGTCTATTCCTGATTAAAATGGGATTGATAACACATACTGTGCAGGATTTCCCGATTTGATATGTATGCTTACACAAGTCAGCTAACGCCGTCCGTTCCACAGGGGCAGAAAAGCTGCTTTTCAATTTAAACCAGATTAGTCAATAAAACATTGCTTGGACACAGCGAGTGATGATGTGCCTTAGGAATATTAACTCTGCTGTCCACCAAGAATCAACAATACTGTGACAAACAGTATTCAAATGCTTGACCTACTGCCTACAAACACTGACACAAGACAATATATCAGTTGTGAAGAATGTGTCCTTCCAGTGTTACATTATTGTTGCATTATACTGTGTTATATTGTGTAAATCGAAGCTGCCTTTTGTTCAGTGTGAACAGCAGAAATTCATCCATCTCATCACGGCCTTAAACTGCAAAACACTGAAGTGACTCTTAATGCTTTATATATCGCTGGCATGTTTATTCTCTCACACTGCATCATATTTTATGAGCTCCTTGTAGGTTTTGAGTCAAAGTAACCAGTAACTGCAGCAGTGCAAATATTACAATTTTCATGCAGTGTAGTGGAGGAAGTTTGGCAAATATTCTGAGTAGCTAAATGAGATAAAGTAGTATGTTTTCTTCTAGTACTTTGAAGTTTATGAAAGCCAGAATACTAAATAACAGAATGCCCAATGCTGAATTAAAACCTACACAGGGGGTAGCTTTACTTCTAAACATACTGTGTACATATGAGAATGGGATTTGCTGAAAGTAACTTATTTGAACAAAATAAAATACCAGCAACACTTTCATGGGCGTCGATAAACTTTTTCCTCACATGTCTGCACACATTTTGTGATATTTAGATATGAAAACACCTGACCAGCCAAAGCTCAGAAGCCTATTTAGCTTGCTGCTGCAAGCTTTGGGTGGCAACACACAATCACAGCATTCAACTATGAAATGTAGCAGAGTAAAAAGGTATGAAAGTATAAATCCCCAAGTACATGTTCTTCAAAGGAAGGAAGCAAATGCTCTCAGTTGCATAATGAGGAAACCCACCTTTTAAAAGTCCTCACTGATGCATGTAGTCAGCTTTAAATAAAAAGCATCAGCTGCCTCAAACACAGGAGCATATTCTTTAAACCTGCCGCCACCAGAGCACCAATGACATCATCGTCATCATCTTCATCCTAATCAGTCCTGAGCTCGAGCTGCCAGACAGCATCATCACCTGTCCTCCCCTGTGCTGCAGCCTGTCTCTGCTGCTACAGCACACACACACTCCACAGGGCGAAAGGAGACTCCTGACACAGCTCGGACCTGAGAGGTGAATCTCTCCCTCTGAACACCGAGACGTCCCCCAAACATCCCCGCACTCACTCACTGACCGCAGTCTCTATCTCATTAGAGCGGATTAGAGCCTGACGATGAATGGACGTCGCTCCAGCGGCTTTATTCCACTGAACTATCACACTGGGGTCAAAGCGGGCTCATTACAAGGCTGCACACTGTACCTACTGTTTATCTGGACGACTGGAGATGCAGGAAAAAAAGCATTTGCAAGGGCTTGCAAGCTCGCCAGGAAAATAATTTAAAAAAATCTAAATGAGAGAGCTGGAAGGGCAGCGGGGAGGAGATATGTGATGACAAGTTCAAATCAAGCAGTGGATGCTGCATTTCAACGCGAGCCTGTTGATGTGATGACATCTAAGTGCACACAAACACATTTAATTGACATTAGGATGGAGGTATTCCCTGCACCTCGGTGCAGCATCGCGCCTGAATCACAAGAAATCTGCATCCGCAAGTGAATCCAGATCACAAACGAAGCTGCAGCTCGACCACATACCTTCATTGCACCTCCCGTTCGAGGAATCTGCCGAGTAATGTCAGGACGACGACCATTGCAAGTGCACAGGGAATCAAACCATTACGTCTTCCCTCTCTCCAGCTGCCTGTGTGTGTGGAGTAAGCATAACGTAATGGCCAAGAGTGCCGCAGCCAACCACAGAGCGCACACAGCCGCTGGTATCTTTAGCAGCCAATCCGCCTTAACGCATCGCCGGAGTGGGCGTTCATTGCCGTGCGTAAAGACGCATGTGTGTGAGTCCGAGCGACGCATCATGCTATTTTCACAGCTTCGGTTTATCCTAGTAAATTAGTAAATTAGCTTTTTTTAGTTTAAGGCAGTTGTGTCTTACAGCAAGCGTGAAAAAATATGCAATTGTTATTTTTTGGGGTTTATCTTATATCACTGAAATATTCTGCACTATGGAGTGATTTGAACAGAAGCAAAATAAATGTGTGTGTTGTTTTTTTTTGGAGGATTTACATTTTTTCATGACCTTTCTTCAATCAGAGGAGGTAAAACCGAGATTATCCTCTGCGCCGGCAAATGCAGTGTTATTTCTGTTTGGTACCAAAACTAAATGCGTCTACAATCTTATTTACCGCCATATTTAGCCTGTGTGGGTGCATGTGTGCAAGCCTGTGGCTGCGCGCGCGCACACACACACGCACGCACAAACACACACACACACACACACACACACACACACACACACACACACACACACACACACACACAAACCTTGCTGTCTGCAGTAAAGAGATTAGAGGGGTTTTCTTCCATTGTCGCCAGTACCGCTGTGAGCCCACAGGGGGCAGCAGATAGCGTTGCCACATCATTATTATCATTCAGACATAAGTGAGCCGCAGGGGAGGAAAGCTGCTCCTGCTGCTCAATATGTTATTACTGATATATGGCAGCATAAATCATACATTACATATAAGTTATGCAGCTGTTGTAGTGCAAAGGGACAAAAGGTGCAGAGGAATCAGAATGATGCAAGTACAGTATAATGCTGCTGCCCGAGTCTCTTTAAATTCTCTGCCATTTCCACTACATCAAACAGTGACCCTACTATGTTGATTTTAGTTCACACAACCACATTAAAAGATCTGTGGAGGGCTGCGGGCCACCAGTGACACACTTAAGAGCTTTGGATTTGGCCTGAATATTCTTCCACAGCGTTAGTTGTATCGGAGGATGGAAGAGTGCAAACTCTTCCTCACGTTTGAATGATGCTAAGAGAAATTAGCAGTGGGGTTTATGTAGCTGTGACTTTACCTTAAAGGGTCAGTTCATCCAAATTGCAACATATCTTTTCACCTACCTTTAGTGGTGTCGAGCAGTAATACTAATACTTTGGTTTTAAATCAGTTTCTGAGATTTCTGCCGCCACCTTAATACAATGAAGGTGAATGAAATTATGTTTGTGGTGCTAAAAACATGAAATACTGAAAAAAGATCAGCAGCAATATCCTTTTTTCCAGAAACAGTTTTCCCATTTCTCTGGATAATCCACTGAGCTCACTGTCGACAGTTTTCATAGGGACTATTTCTTCAGTAGAGAGTAGAGCCAATGAAAACTGTCAGTAGATTATCTACAGTAACTGGGACACTGTTTCTCAAAGGTTGTTTTAGTGATTCTTTTTAAAGTCATTTTTTATGCTAACAGAACCAAATTACATTTTGTTATTTGGGTGAATCAACCCTTTAACTTGACCCTTTTCCTTCCCTTTAATCAAGCTTAAAGACTGACCCCATCGTAGTTTGGTTGTGAGGATGCCAGTAAAGTGTGAGCTCATTGTCATATAGCTTTTAAAACAGAGGGTGCACACACACACACACACACACACACACACACACACACACACACACACACTGTTTTTGACTCTTTGGAGGACACTGCATCGAGCTTAAACTGTGCACCACATGCTTAATTATAACCCTAAAATTAAATATTAAATCATTATGTGTCTGTGTGACCAGGTATACAGTGGTGGAAGAAGTGTACTTAACAAGTATATAAGTATTATCAGCAGAATTAAAGTACTCATTGTGCAATAAAATGGTCTCTGTCAGTGTTTTACTATGATATATGATGTTTTTGGATTAATATTACTGCTGTATTAAAGTGTATGTTGCATTTTAATGCCACAGATGTTTAAGGTTGAGCTCATTTTAACTACATTATACACTGTTGAGTAGTTTGATCGACAGAAACGCATCATATTCTTTAAGATCATCATATGTTTGTAGTGTAGCTGTCCTGTGAGAATCTCACATCTCTAAAAAAAACAAATGTCAGCATTGTGACGATGTATTTTCCAGCTAATCTAAGAGGGGTTTTGAATAGTTTATTTAGCTTAAGAAGTAGGAGAATATTCTCAACCCATAATGGGACACTTAATTCTTCAGCTTATCAGAAAAAATCGATTTCAAAATTTGGAGATACCATGTGTTCACTAGATGGGAAAAGTATGAAAAATTGTAATCTGAAAAGCTGTCAGACAAATGGAGGTGGAGTACAATATTTGTCTCAGAGAAGAAGTGGAATAGAAGAATAAAGCATAAAATGAAAATGCTCAAGTAAAGTACCTCGAATTTGTCCTTAAATACAGAACTTGGGTAAATATGTAAATATATATTTAATTAACTTCCACAACTGCAGGCATGTCTATGAGTTAATACAAGAACAAAAAGGTTTGAATATCTTCTGTGATTTCCATCTTCAGAGGTTCTGGAGTCTGAGAATCAGCGCCAGTCGCCTCAGAATTAAGTCAGAGCGGCCAAAAGGTGACGTGAGTGACTTTGAATGTGATTGCTGATTCTAGATAAGGCATTCACTGAGTGGTGCAACAATCCTATCAGTGAGTGTGATTAGAAGAGAACTGGCAGAGAAACTCCAGACCTGAAGTGAGCAACAAAAGGAACAAGGCCAGTGGAAAAAGACACATTATCTAAACAGGGAAAATAAACATCTGTCCAATGAAACAGAACTAACACCACAGATCCCGTTAATGTCTCCCCCCGGTAACACTCTGTTTACTGTCACTTGTTCTTTATTTTATTTTATTTCCTGCACATATTCAGCCACACAGTCACAGTTTCAGTTTTCTCTCAGGCTTCACAGGAAAATGAAACCTTGTGCATCAATGACCTTTTATAACAAAATACAAACATCCATTTTGACTGTTTTTTCCTGCAAAAAAGTGCAATGACTTTGTTAAACATTCTTAATTACATCTGCTTATCCTTCTTCTTCGGGAAAGTCCAGAATCTTTGATCTTTCATCAATAGTTTGACTAGTGGATACAAGATGTCTCCAACTTCTCGGAAAAATCCACTCTCAGTGACTATGACCTGGAGGCTTTTCACATGATATTAGCTGTAAATATCACAAGATCAACTTGTATGTACTTGTCTTAAACTCACATTGATCGTCTAACCTTTTTGTGAAAATCCCCCCATATTACCAAGAAAGAAGCTATGTCTTCAAATGGCTTCTGTCAGATTAACATAAAAATCAATATATGAAACAGTTAAAAGCAGCAAATCTTCACATTTGGGAAGCTGAAACCAGAGGATTTCAATCAGTTATTCAAACACTTAAAGGACTACTGTGTATTACTCAGTGGAATCTAGCAGGGAAGCAGCATATTGCAACCAATTGAATACTTCTCGCCTTCCAAGTGTGTAGGAGAAATTTCAGAGGCCGCAAAACTTGTGAATTTCCCAAAAGCCCCTACCTAGAGTCAATGTTTGGTTTGTTCATTCTGGGCAACCGTACAAACATTGCAGTCCAACGTGGCAGCTTCCATGGAAGAGGACCCGAACGTCTCATTCTAAGGTAACAAAAACCCGATTATTTTCAGGTGATTATACACTAATGAAAACATACCAATGAATCTTATTTTAGCAGTGTTTGCTCTATGTTGATTTTGGAGCGGCGGCCCGCCGCTGTTAAATTTCTGCCGCCACAGTCTCAGAAATGGGGCAGACGCACGATGTAGTCACGGTTGCCTTTTAAATGATCCTGCCGACATAATGCACCCCCATTGGCTGCCGCTCACATTGCAATTTAACAACAAGTAGAACTATTCAGAGGTTATTGGGGCTGTCCAGTTTAACTCCACATACTGTTGTGTTGGGGGGGGGCCTGCCGCCGCTGCTAAAAAAAAACCTAGAGGAAACACTGTTTAGGATCTTAATTATAAAAAATGTATTGATTAATTTTCGGATTAGTTCCCACACTGTCCCCCATTAGTATCTGTGCTTTGTTCCCACAGTTGCCTCTCATGTTCATCCTATTACACAACCCAGCTGAAATATACTGCACTCTGCTTCTAGTTATGCAATTTATGACAACCCGAACACGTCATGGAAATTACGGTTTTAAAAATATTTACTGGAAAACATGTTTCACTCTGCAACAAATAGGATAATAAAAGCAAAACCCAACACCTTTTTGGGGTTGTTTTTTGGACCCCCCGCACTTGAGTGGGGGTGGCTTACGGTCACTTTACAAAAAAACTTTGGATGGGAATCAGATGACAAGCTCAAAGTCTCTACAAAGATCGCTGTCTTCTAAAACTCTGGGAGAGAGTCCAACATCTGTCTCCAGGATTGTGAAACATGTGAAACAGTGAAGATAATGAATGGTCGTCCCCCCCACACACACACTCTCCAACACAACACACACATGCCAGAAAGTGAAACTAAGCATTACAATGTTCTTGGGAGGTCTCAGCAGTGTGTGTGTGTGTACTTTAAGGTATACACAGCATGGTAAATACAGCATGTTCAGTGTTTCTCACGATTCCACAATTTCCTAGTTATTCTTCCTGCGGAGGCCAGATGTGCTCAGCCAGTGCAGTTAAAGGAAGGATTTGATTCCAGTTTTACAGAAACATTCAGCAGCTTCTTGTACTGACAAGCCCCACTAGAAGCTGACACTGGAGCTGCTGCCAACAAGTGCCACTAGATGGAGCATGTATTCTTTCAAAAGAGGGCAGTCTGCTGCCTGTATGGTAGGTTTGATTGAGGGAGCTGAATATTTTGTCATTACTGGGAAATATATAAACTAAGTAAGTATAATATAGGCAATAATACTAAGAATATCATACATATAATATTTGTGGTTGACGAAGTACTCAGATATTTTACTATTATACTATTATTTAAAAAAACATTTATTATTAATGCCACAGTTTAGAAATACTGTTAGTAAAGGAAGTATTGGTAACAATTATGCATGCATTAATCAGTTTAATGTTTAATTATTTTACACTGTATCTACATTCACTGTAGTACAGGGTACTTGTGCTTGAGAAATTACATGTTTTGCTACTTTGTACTTATAATATTGTACTTTTTCTTTCTTTCTTTCTTATTTTTATTTGACTGCTTTAGTTAATTAAGTCAAGATTTTACACACAAAACATAAAATACAGTGCATTGTTCAAGATTAAACCAGTTGTGGCCCTTAACATAAAAGAAGAAGTCTTATGGTTTCGTTTAAATAATTCTTGATAGCTCAACAAGTTCAAGTAAACACATTCTTTTAGAAAAACAAAGATTAAAAAGTCAGAAAAATAAAAACAGATTTGTGCAGCAGAACTTTCTTTTTTCTTCTTTCCTCTGTCATTAATTCTCCCATGACCCCTCAGATTTATCTCATGACCCCCAGATACTCGACTAAACTGGCTAAATGTATGAAGTAGTTGAGACCTTGACATGGTACAACAGTAAAATGCTGCTTATACATCAATGCGTCAGTATTAACAATCTAATAAAGTCATATATAATCCTAAATGGGTCAAAATGAGTCCCTTTTACCTTTGATTATTGTACTATTACTTAAGTAGGTTTTAAAATGCATAATTTTTACTTGTAATAGAGTATTTTAACATTGTGGTACTTAGGTAAAGGGTCTGAGTACTTCTTCCACCACTGCCACTAAACATGATAAGTCAGCATAAACTACATCACCGTCTTATTAACTATTAACATCCTTAAAGGGAAGATGTTGTGAGAGAGTTTGTACTGGGGTCAAACCACAGGAGATAAGAAACAGAAGGACGAATAAATGAAAACATTCCCTCTGCCTCCCACACCACTGAAGCACAGTGTGTAATAACCTGTGACCTGTTACTGCACACATCCCATGTCTAAGAATAACCAGGTCAAGAGAACAAGGAGCGTAATCTTTTTTGAAAAATCTGTGCACACACTTTGGTGGTGAAGCCGGTACTATTTCCAATGGGAAGTGGTAAACAACAGCAATGTCACAGTAACAAATACAGCTATAAATACAAGTTGTGCAAAAGCTCCATTGCTGGTGCAGGTGGAACTGAGCTTTTAGGCAAAACTCACCTCATTTTCTGGTGCTGTTTGGTTGTATGGAGTAGAGAGTTGTGTTAGTAATATGTTGTCCAACTCACAGATACCAGGAAGTAGAATAAATATTAGGAATGCCTCTCAAACTGAAGCTTTCACAATGACCATATGGTTTAATCAATACCTCTCTAAAACAGTCTCAACAAAAACTAAACTTTATAACCTTCACAAAGGAAGTATTTGTTGCAGGATAATTATAGTGTTAGCTTTAGTTTTATCCACTGTAGCTGTGCCTCAAAAACTGGCAGCTGAGTCTACATATAAAAAGTACAATAATTCCTTCTAAAATGTTGTGAAATAAAAGTGTTCCCAGAAGGACCTCAAGCTTACTATAATTTGTAAATATCTTTTTTTTTACTGCCCACTACAAGAGACATTGTTTATGTCTGACAGGCTGCACAGACATGAAGGGTTTGAACTGCTAAATGTCTGCAGGGTGTTTCAGCGTCGGCTACAAACCAGAACATGATCTTCTGTTATCTGATACTCCTCCGTTTCTTTTAGAGGGACGAATAGGGATCGAAGATGGATGGCTTCAGGCTCTCCCCCCGATGAACATGAAAATGCCTCGCTAGCAGAGCAGATACAAGTCAGCAGGATGTTGATATTATTCCAACCCGGACAGGTCCATACAGGGCACTGTTTTCATCCACACACAATATTAAATGCTGACATGGAAACCAGCTGCTGAAACCCCAGAGTCATCAGACTTTCTCTAATGTGTCCCTGAAGAATGAGAGCAATTACTAACTTCCAGGGCTGCGTGATGGAGGTATTCGGAACAAAAGCTTCTTTGTTGGTATAAAATGGGATTAAGTCTAATCTTTCCTTGTTTATCTAAATAAACATATAATAAAATAGAATATGAACAGTGTGTATAGATAGATTGGACTCATCTTTTCAATCATGGTGGTCATTTTCAAAAAGACAACAACTAAACATAGTGGAGCATTCAGCAGCTAAAGAGCCAGATATTTCCCTCAGGAGTTGGTGGAGACCAAAGAGGGGCTAAAAGAGAGTGAATATTAGACTAGAACATTTATTAATGCAGGTTTGTGTGCATGAACAAAAGCTCAATACATACATTTCAGGATCAAATCTTTGAATTATTTCTTATTAATGTTAGTTTATTATTTCTTTCTTATTATTTCTTCAGTTTTAGCCTTATATCCACTCATACAGTAAAAATACATGGAGGTGATTTCTCATTATTATTATCTACAATCTACAACTAATTTACTTCTATCACTGATAGTATATTACACTATTAGCCGTAGCAAAATCATTCAAAATCCAGACTAGCCGGCTACAAAATGTCCACAAAAACCAAATGTTATTCAAACCATATTTATTTTTGAAGCAACAGCAGGCAAACATCACTTTTACTTTAAAAGCAGACCATGATTTAATGAGGCAAAAATTAACTGAAGTTATAACTGATTTGTATGAAGGCTGGTGATTTATCTATCAAATCAAGAAGTTAAGATAAAACATCTATTTTAGGATATGGGCAACTCAGTGAGTTGTTTTTATGTCAACAACAACCCATAAAAACAAAGCTTGTGCATTCAGGGACGGAGTCGTCCTTAAAGTGCAAATGAGTAAACATTTCATTTCGACGATCAAAGGTAGTAATTTACTCTGCATGTCCACAACACACTCATGCACACACTCCAATTAAGCTCTCTCTCTCTCTCTCTCTCTCTCTCTCTCTCTCTCACACACACACACACACACACACACACACACACACACACACCAAACCAAGCATCCTGTTCATTAATATCCCTGTAGACACAAATAAACAGATTTTCCTGAATAATAGCATGGAAAGAGAACAGTCCACATTAACATCTGTAGGCAGGATAAAGTGTGGGCTTGTACAGTTGTGTTCACATGCTGCAATTTTTATCAAAAGTACCCCCCCTAAATAATGAACATTAACGTACATGTAAACATGCACTCTGTCTGTGGGATCTAATATTGCCCTATAGTAAACAGTGAGGCCCATTTTTTAAAAACAATAAAAAAGGATAGAGGAGAACCACACGTAAAAAAAAAGACAAATTCAAAAAGAACATTTATTCATGCCACAACAAAGATTCATGTACACTCTGTGGTGCCACAGAGGAGAAGATAAAAGTGGAGCTGTCTGTAATAGTTTCATTGTCAATTCCACGTATGCCTTTAAAAACAGAATTGGCATCTTTCTTGTTGCTCATGGTCTGATTCATAAATAGAATCCTTCATAAACCACCAGTGGATGAAATTATCTGGGACTGGTCCTATTTGGTGGGAAAAAATAGATCCCCTGCTCACCATCTGTGCCTGAAGGGGTCTAACGAGGCCTGATAGAAGCAGTAATCAGTTCAATCAGCAGCTCAAACACTCCATGTGTCGTCTGCATGTGTCTGCATCGGGCTGAGGCTTTTTCTCCATACAGCTGCAGCATCACTATATCAACACTTATTGAAGCATCAGCGCTGGAAATTTAAATTAAAACAGATTCAGTGATTTACTTACCACGAATCGGCATTTATTTCAAAATATTTCCTGAATAAATGCCCAAAACTTTTTTATGTGAAACTAATCTCACTGCATTTGAGTTATTATAACTAAAAACATATATATCATAGCAAAAATTACAGTTGAAATTAAACTGATCCTCAGCAGGATATTTAGTCACTTTGACTGATTTAGACCTTTCACAGAAATGGGGCAGAGAGAGCAGTAAAGTTGCCAGAGAGGCTGAACCAGCTGGGTAAATGTACCTGGGGAATGTGAGTTGGTAAAGCTTCCTCCTTCCTCAACTGCTACCGCTGAGGTGCCCTTGTGCAAGGCACTTAACCCCCCAGCTGCTCCAGTGGACAGTGGCAAATAATGGGAAGTGTCTTGGTGTGAGAGCATAACACCTTAAGAACATAAAGCACTGGAAAACAGCAAACATGTTCAGCTAAACTTGAATCGATCCATAAATAAATTCCTAGTGTCAGTACAACCACAGAGCTGCCTGTATCTCATAGCTGAGTTTCAGTAGTCAGAGCATCCAGAGGGACGCACAACACAGTTACTTATTTTAAAGTTATTTTCAGAAACATGTGGGTCACTGTAAGCATCTGCCACAATGACACCTGCTAACACAGGAGCAGCTCTGGGCGATCACCTCCCACAGAAGTGCACTGGCACATTTTTTGACATGTTTTCTTCTCCAAAGCCCCAGGCTCGAAGCTCCAGCCTGTCCTCCTCCTCCTCTCTATCATCTTCCTCTCCATCTCCCTCCTCGTACAGACTGGGCTCCTCCACAGAGGTCTCCATGTTTGGGTTGTAGCCACCAAATGCCTGCGCCTCTCTGTACTCATAAATAGTGGGGAGGCTACTGCGTAAACCGAAGCGGCGTCGCAGGGCCACGAGCAGCGGCTGTGGCACGGTGAAGATATCGACATTGTTGCCCAGGTCAACCCAGGCCAGGCAGGGGAACTTTTTAGGATCCTTTACTGCGTCTGTCAGGTCTTTCAGGATGGCCAGAGTCAGACGGTTGCCGTTGACGGCTAGTATGGTCAGTTTCGGCATGCAGCCGAGGTAGGGCAACAGCAGCCGTAAGCTCTCGTCCTGCAGCTCTGTGAAGCTCAGGTCCACGGCCGACACCGCGTCACTGCTACTCTGGAGGTAGAAGGCCACGCGGTGGACGTCTCGGCCAGACAGCGGGATACCTGAAAGGTTGACCACATCACCGGACAGTTTCTTCTTCAGGGTGGTCTTCAGGCTGCTTGAAAGAGGAGACAAAATAAACTTGGATCACATAATGGCCATATGTTGCAGACGGTATTAAAGATGTGCAAAGTCTTAACTGACAGTTAGTTTTCCAAAAGTGTGTAAGGACAAACGATCTTGATGATACTGGAGTTATTGATTTAAAAGGCTCTGTAATGGGGTGCCACACTGTCCCGTAAGTACAGGGGAACTGCAAAGTATGCAGAAAACAAACTAGCATCCACTAGTAGAGTGTAGCAATCAATAATGTAAAGAAGATAATTTGCATTTAAATGTGTCTCAGTCTGAGTCCCTCAAGCAACAAATTCTGTCTCCTGGGCTTAATGTCATCCACTGAAAGGCACCAGCTGTTTTTAAGTTTCGAGTGTCACTTCTTTCCTGTAAAGCCATCTCTCTAAGTCTCTAAGTACAAAACAACAATAAATAAATAAATTAATGGTTAAAAAAACAAGGCAAAAAAAGAAAAAGTTGTCATTCTGTCTAGACCAATTAGCAACAGCTTGTTTGGAGCTGGGGTTGTAGTTTCAACCTTGGGACAAGTGTCATTTTGAAAACAGGGATTCACAAGAAAAATGCATATATCTTTGCATATCTTCGGATATTTAAAAATCAGGTCATATATGAAGTATTGTGAGTGACACATGAATAAGACCCTTGATCAGCAAATTTGAAAAACATGAAAAATCACTGGTGTGATCCCGTTCTCTCATGTTGCAATCAATTAGTATCAATTAAAGATAGTCAGAAAGTAGCAAAGGGAAGCATTGTTCACTTTCTTGCTGGGAGAAGATGGATACGACTCTCATGTCTGTATGTTAAAAGAGAACTCCACCCATAGACGGCGATATTAAGAGTTTATCACTGAACAAAATAAGTCTCTTCAGAATAGTATATAGTGCTGTCAGCATCACATTCAGTATTATCCCACACTGGTATTCAGTGTGGGATAATTAGGTTGTCCAGAAGATCAGTGGGGAAGCTTTACTTTGTCACATGTCACCTCACTGTATCACTCATGTGAGCACACCTTGATAAACATACTAGCAGCTAACTGTTAGCATTATTTTTTGCAGTTTAAAATTAGTAAGTCAAATTAGTTCGTAAATGAAGTTGGGAAATTGTATCGTGGATGGATTGGTTTTCCAACATCCTCGGACAGAAGAGGTGCCACAGGTGTTGAATAAAACCTTTTATTTTTATTTGAATTGATTATTTGATCTGATTATTTGTGCTGAGTTTGTTGTGTTTTGTGTAGCCTCGGCTGTTTCATGCTCTCTCTCACTCTGCTCATATATTTGATCTGATGCGTTGATGTCGTCTGACTAACATGCAGTTGTAGGACAGCTAAGGAAAATGTGTTTGTGTGTTTTTTGGGTGTTGTGTGTGACAAGTTTGCTTTGGACCATCTTGCTCTATATTGGTCATTGCCTAATGTATCTAACATTATATTGGCTTATATGACATAGCCCTATGCTCTTCTGTCAGCTGGATACTTGTAATACGCTAGTTGTTATGATGAAAAAAATCAAGATTATTTAAATTTTCAACTTGCTATGAATTAGGCCTATGTGTACGTGTTGATAAAATAAAAAAGGTTAGAAGTGTGGTTTTGAGATCTAACACATGCAAAACACTCTTTTCATTCCTATGAGATGTGTGACTGTGATCCTCTTAAACAATAACAAAGCAAACATCTCTGACTTGTAAAGGCCACATTGAGCACAGGATAAATGAATAGTAATCTGTGTAAAGACTGATCAGATGTTTGATTGTAATTTTGAGGACTTTCTGGCCCCACCTTCCAGTATTAATGCTAAGCTAAGTTAGCCAGCTGCTAGTGGTAGCTTATATTAATCTTACACACAAGAGTTGTATCTATCTCATGATCTAACTCTCAGCATAGAATCAAATAAGAATATTCCCCCAAAATGGCCAATTTTTCCTTTAAGTTTTGTTCGATAAACATCTTCTGCGATGTTGTGCAGGGCAGACAAGAAGATAAAAGCGTAGATGATGGATGTACAAACACACTATAAGTGGACAAGAATGGGCAAGAAACAAGAGTGATAAAGGCAAGTAATCATCTATTTCAGTCCATATGACTACAGACAACAGGTGTGAGGTGAATCCATCTTAAGGAAAAATACTACTATAACTATCACACCTGTCAGGTTAGATCGTTGTATCCCTCACTGCCTCTCATAGCACTAGGCAATAAAAAAACCCCCCAAATGTTCTCTCCATACGAGTATGTGGTTAAATATGCATAGAAGAGCTATAAGGGAGCTGCATGTCATTGCAGCTCAGGAGACACTGAGTCTGCTGCACTGCATTAGACTCCTTTTGTTTTTACTGCCATTTAGACTTTGACATTAGAGGAAAGACATCTGCCAAACAAATGATAATGAGGTGGAAGCGTGGGAGACTTTGTTTAAAAAATCTGACAAACAGAAGAAAAATGTGCTTTTTAACTGGCCTAAGGTTTATCCTCTCTTTGTCTTTGTCCTGTTTGCCTTTGCTCGTCCCTCTGCTTCCTCAGGCACAGTAAGGATTATTCTTGCATCTCTTTCTGCTCTCTGGTCTGTCTGGGAGCCTTATAAATCGGGAGGCTGTACTCTTTACATCTGTCACCCTCTCTGCTCGGTTAAGGGGGGGGGAATCTGTAGCACACCAGGGCCGTGATTCGCAAGATTATTGATTCCAGGAGTAGGCTATAATTCATCTCTCCCTCCTTCATTTCCTCACTCTTGCTCCCTGCCTCTCACTTTCTTGCTCTTTCTATTTCTTGGCCTCTTTTTATTTATTTTTTTCTCTTATAATATCACAGTCTTCCCTAGTCTGAATTTGAGCCGCTGAAGTACCTGTATCCATTTTTCTTTTTGTAACGGCTTACTGTATTTATAAATCCTCATGTAGGCCCTCTGCTAATTAAAACGTTAATATCATTATTCATGTGAAAATGCTGCCTGTATGTGCTCCCATGAAATATCTATTATCATAAGGCTACAAAAAAATATTGATTTCATTATATATTCATCTGTTTGACCAATGATTTAATCGTTCAGTCCAACTGTTCCCAACCTAAGGAGCCTTAAGGTGCATCTGAGGGAGATGATAAAAAGGATGGGAAAAGACTCAAAAGCACAAAACTATGGTGTTGTTGTTGTTGTTTATTTTCTACTTGGTCTAGTCTTTGTTTTTTGCCTGTAAATTACTGGATAATTGTAATTCTTCTGCCCCTTGAAAGTATTCAAGTAAAAGTCTGAGACAAAAAAACTGCATGTAGACTTTAAGGGGTACAGCACAGCTGTGCTTTGTGGTAAATTTTAACAACAGCATGCTAACATGCTCACAATAACAATGCTAATATCTTTATGTTTAGCAGGTATAATGTTGACCATGTTAGCTACCCTGCTAATTAGCAATAAACACAAACTACAGCTGAGGCTGATGGGGATGTTATTAGTTTTGCAGCTATTTAGTCATAAACCAAAGTACAAAACAACACTTTAACACGATGATGCACTAAGGTACTATGGTATCACCAGAGTTATTACAATTCATCCTGAGGGGAACATGAATGCCTGTATCAATTATCATGGCAATCCATTGGACAGATTTCACAAGATAAGTGAAAAATCTGACCTGTTGGTGGCGCTTATGCAATCTGCACCATGATGTCTGAACAGCATTTCATGACAATCCATCCAATAGTTTCCTATTTCAGTCTTGACTAAAGTGGCAGACTGACAGACGGACATTGCCATCCTTAAAGGCTGGGAACCACAGATTTACTCCTTAAAATGTCAGAAAATAGTGAACAATTTCCATCAGGCAAAACACAAAGATATCAAATTTACAATGATATAGGCAGCAAATCCTCAATATTAGAAGCTTTAACAGTAAATGTTTGACCTTTGTTGCTTGATAACGTTCTTAAATGTTTAATTGATTATTAATTAATTAATTAATTTCCATTATGAATCTACTCACTGACTAATTGTGTCAGCACTAAAGTTATTGACTTTGACTGTAGCTTTTAGAAATGCCAGGAAAGTCTGACTGCAGCTGCAGCTTCTTGGCACACTCCACCACTCCTGTGACTTCAGAAGGTTTACTGTACCACTGTGCAGTTTCTGTACTTTACTGTAATGAAAGTGATTATGAGGATCGACTTTTGTTCGCTTGGACTTATTTATAGGAGGATTTTCCTATTTCTGCCGGAGCCCTCCCCTCTCACCTATGTGACTATGTATATGTAGGAAGAGCTCTTCCATGAGACAAAGTCAGGCAGGAGCTGAGTGGGTTGTACAGGGAGAGGGTGGGCTCTAATGTGCTTTTAATGAGACAGAATAAAGACGACTTCATGCTTCCTTCCAAATCCACTGCCACTCGGCTCCGTGGGCAGAGTTCCACCCACAGGCTGCTCAGCTGGCCGCAGGCCCAGGGGCACAGCTAGCATTTCTAAAGCCACAGTGTACACTTTAGTCCATCACCATGAAATGATAACAACATAAACAACAAAATGTCTCATCTCGCTCTCTCTGATGTGGCTGCCATACTCGTAGGCAGTGGTGCATATCCTCTTGGACCAGCTCAGACACAAACAACTTCAAAGGATAGTCTACCCGCATAAACATGGTGCGAAACAAGAGCGTCCCCTGCATTGGGACTCATTTAAAAGCAAACAACTGAGGGAAATCCATTTATTGACATCCTCAGGAGCAACTGATACAACAGTGCAGGAATCTAATAAGAGCTGACTCTCATGTGCCAAACTATTGGCTGCTTAAATGTGGGTTCAGGCAGACTGTCTAATTGCTTTTCATAGCATGTCTTTCCTCAGGGATGTTGTTAACTTTTACACACTGAACAAGGGTCCTTGCCATTCTATAGTTATGTAAAACCCAGAGGTAGGAACTAAAACATCTGGGGTTTGTGATGGTGAAATGGAGTGAGTGCAGACAAAGAGAGAGAGCTTATAGAAAGGTCAGA